TGGTCTTTGTGCATTACTTTCAAGGGAGGAACATGCGACGGCCTCGTCAGTGGACTGACGGCGTTGGGTTGGCGCCTGGTGGTGATGGCCGTCGGCTCCGGTCAGACAGCGGCACATCAGACACATTTCTGCCGGCCCGGGGAGAGTGTTCCGCCGTATTATACGGCCCGTCACACCGCGTTACCGCGCCGTTACCACAATAAGACACAATGCGGCCGGCGCCTGGAAGCCGTGCATCACAATGCAATTGGCGGCGTCTATGGTCGGCCAGCCGGCGCCGGAAGACCTCATAAGAAGGCTGGCCGACGGCCGCTCTGGGCTGTGGGGGTGGGGAGGGAATCATCCCCGTGACGAGCGGCCCAGCACGCCCTGGGGGAGGAGGGGGAGGGTGGCGCCAGTCTCGGCGTCAGTCTGGGGCAGGCCACCCCGCCTCCGGTCTGCCAGACTGGCCCAGTTTCGGGGAAACTAGCTCCGCGAACTGCTTCATCACTGTGGAGCACAGAAACTACCCAGGGTGACCCAAACGCCCTGAGGCAATCCCGAGGATATCACAGATTTTAAACGCCCTTCCAATTCGGAAAACCGATGGGCTGATCCATATAAATCCTTACTTCTCGGTCAGTGTTGAAGGCGTGACGATGGCGGTGCCCAGCGGGATGGTGCGGGAGAGTGGGGAGAGGGCGAGGGCGAGGGCGAGGGGCGTGGCGCCGCTGCCGCCCACAGCTCGGTAGCAGTTAATGGGGCGAGGACGTGATACAGCGCCAGTGCCGCGGTTAATGAGGTGAGAGCAGAGATAACCCCGGACGGGTGGGAGGCTGGCAAAGATAGCGCCACGCATCCGCCGCCCCCGCAGCCGGAACGCTACCTTACGCGGAGCGGCATGGGCGTACAGTTTTTCAGTCCTGAAGAAGCGATACTGGATTTCATGGGAACGCCGGGGAGCCGGCAAGGGTAATACTGAAGAAGCTGAACAAGTTGTGGAGTTATCTGACGTGTCACGTCGGCGGGTGTCACCACTCTTCAGCGTGTGTCAGCTCGTGTGTCAGTGTGTGTCAGGGGCGGCGGACGTCTGACAGACACCGCCAGGTGATGGAGAGATAGGAGCGCCACCGCCGTCACCGCCGGCCCTCGTCGAGTCGTCACCTCGTGAAGAACTGCGCCCGGTGATCGCTCGGACAGCACTGACTGCTTCTTCAGAGGTCAGCAGGAACAGGGAACATCTGCCGGTCTCCTGCCCGTTACGGAACACTAGTATTTCACATAAGGACGTGGAGTGACGACTCTGGTCTCTCGATAGTGACGTGAGTGTGGTTTACACGAATTATCAAAAGTGGCACGCAAAGACACAATTATTTTCCTGAATCGATAAATATTCCAAAAGGCCCACTTCGGCGCAGCGAGGTTTGATTTGACCAAGGAGTATTTCAATTATAATGACAACAGAATGCACCAAAAATTAAAGAAACAACAAGATAAGGTATTTCAAATAAGTTGCGTTCCTTGAAAACCATCAAATAGTTCCAGGAAATCGTGCTTGATCAAACAAATATGAGTCGGTGTATCAAAGAAAACCTTAAAACCACAAAGATTGTGTTTCATAAGGCTTCCAAACAAGGCTTCGGCAAAGCGATATCACATAACTATCGGTTTTGCTATCATGAGTCTATCAGATGTTCGGATAACTCGGACTCTATTATGAATTCAGTGGGTATCCCTTGTATTGAATTGTGGAAAACCGCACGAGATGAACATGATCGTAAAGGAGATGGGAGCACGCATTCTTGTCGTTGCAAGTGCATATTAGGAATGCTGTTGTTGAAATTTATGCATAGCTGTTCTATCGACAAAAACGGGAGTCGCTTGATTATAAGCTGACCCCCTGAACGTTGTTTCCTAATTAGCTGATTAGTTCACATCGCACTTATGTCTTATTATCTAGCGTTACCAATAACAATAGTAAGCCAATTGCATTCACAAAGCATTGCTTCATCCAATGTTCAGCTCATGGAAACCCTCATCAGCGTTCCACAGTCGTGGGACTATAGACAGAGCGCCACATGCGCCACCGACCTCATCAGCCGAGGAGCGGTCACCGGTGGTAGATGAGGGGAGAGGAGCGCTCCCATACCCAGTCGCACCCCACTGCTAGGTGAGGCATCCATCATACCTATACACGGCGGCGCATACATCATAGCACTGCCATCGGGGCATGAGGGCAGGACAGGGCAGGACGGGAAGCGGGGGCAGGGCAGAGGGGGCGTGTTTGGTTCGCTGGTTTGCATGGGAGGAAGAACGAATAACCGAACTTGAACATTCGGCGTTGGATGACCAGGAGGAAGGAAGATCAATAGGCCAGTTGGACAGAGATATATGGAAAATATCACAACGGAAACAACTGAAACGAACCTTATATTGCTGAAAATTTCTGGATTTCAAACCGCGGTAGTTTTACAACAGCGAACAACGAAGTTTAGAGAGAATCACATGAAGTAAATAGATACGAATCGATGTAGCGTGAAACCACGCACACGTGTTGTGAAGGGAGGACGCAGCACCGAATGACACGGTATGTTAGGGAGAGTAGCTCACTGGACACGGTTTGATGCTGAGGCGATACGATGTGAGGCGCTGTGATAGATTGCATTTGGCATGGTGTGACGATGTGTGTCGTTTTTGGTCATGGTAAAAAGTTGCGTGACAGAGCCAGGTGGGCACAAAACAAATTTGGAGAAACCAATATTTATATCGAAACAAAAAGTCAAGAATGATCTTCTTTGAACCTAGCCACCCAATGGCCATTGAACACTTTGGCCAAAGGTCAAAACAAAATCAGATGGAGACGAAATAAATATGAAATCGATGAATAACAAGCCATATAATATGGCGACCATCCAATGCTTTCGCCTTGTGGTTGGCACACATGGCCATAATGAACACAAATGAACCTGAATGACTGTCACCTTGATGTTCATGCCGTATTTGCTGTCTTAATGGAGCCTCTCAATCATGTGAATTCGTGTCATTACAATATAAATAGCATACAATCACCGCGTTTCGACTAGAGCTGTTACAAGCTGAATGGGCATGGAAATTGATAAATATCCGGGGCACTAAAACTTGTCGGTGCGGAAATGAAAAGTTTTGATTAGCTGAAACTTTCAACTGTCAAAAAGCAATAACAAGCAGTTGGCTTTCATCTTTAAGAAAGTAATCAGCATCATGACAAATAACGTCATGGTTATGTAGACTTAAATCCCAGTACAAACGAAATTGTGGGCGATCAATCAATTACAAGCAAGGACGTTAGAGACATTTTCGGTGTCTTGCGAATCTCTAAAGCTCTAACTGCACTCAGCGAAACGACATAAGCTGCTAAACCTGAATCCCAAAATAGCAGACGATTGAATTGTTTCAAAACGCAGTCATGAGTTTGACAAATTCGGCGCACTGACACAGACAAATCACCCTGAATGGGTGCGTTTCGCGCTCGATGCTCGCTCGGTATGGAGGCATTTGTTCTCGTCCGTCAGCCTCACTCAGTCAGAAATGACCTTTCCACATCGACTGGCCGCTGACTGGACCAGCCAGGTCTGCGACTGGACCGTCAAATTCGCCTGTATCAGCACACGTATTGTACCGCCCGCTCGGACAGCCTTCGGTCGGCTGGCCGGGCGGTTTGGACACGGGGGAGGGTCGGCCGGGCGGCCCAGCACAGCGGGAGGTGGGGACCGGCAAATTCCTGGCGGAATTCCATCTCCTGAACGGGCCAGCCACGAGTGAGCGCCCGACGCCCGACACGCGCGTCCAATCCGTCCCGTCAGAAGCCAGGCCGTTTGAAAATGTGGGGACAATCACACGCCCCTCGCGTCTGAGCGTAAACACCACGAGAGCGACACGGGGTGTGGGGGCGAACACCGGGCCACCCGCAGACTCCGTACCCAAAGGGAGCCGCGGGTGCCGAACAGGTGGGCTCTGAAAAGGGCAGTTCACACAGGCTGGTTGAGCATTCTTACTGTGAATTTTCTGTAAGCCATGATGCCAAGAGGAATAGTTGGCCATTAGCTGACATCATCGTCAATGAGCGGCCATCTGAACACTGTTGCTGGTTACAATCAGCAGCTGAGGATCAGGATGATTCCCACCGTCAACCACAAACCGGGTGGCCTGACATCATGTTCTTTGTGTTCCATCTCCGGCTGTTGCTCAGAACAGTCACGAACGGTCAGCATTACGCAGGCTAACAATCCCAGGGGAATGTCAGACACCGCTCGCTGGCGGCCTATCCGACCATCAACAACATTCCTCCGTGAATCTCCAGTGAGCCAAACATGTTATCCAATTTCATTATTTTACCAGTCGTAGCTTGTTACGATCCCAGACCTATCCTTATCTAATCAGCAGCACTTCTCCGCACAAAAAGTTATACCCTCGGGCGCATCGCTGCACGGTTTCTGAGCATCGCCTCACGTTTACCTGAGTCAGGCATTGAAACAATTTGTTGGTGCTGACCTCGGAGCCCGTTTAGTGGATTACCAATGCGTTCTAAGCCCTGAAGAACAGCACGTCAGCGATGTCTGCGGTGAACAGCGTCACTTTAAACACGTGTTTCACGTGTAAAAAGTGACACGCCGGCTGCGGACAATTAGCGTCGCATGTTGCCACGCCGCCTGTCCACACTAATGAAGGCTCGCGTCAAAAATTGATATCAACGCACCGTCTCACGCGAGGTGGGGAATAAGTGCTGGAAAATGGACGAGCTCCTGGTACATGCATAGGTATCTTGAACAAATTGAGCAAAAAGTAAAGTGAATTCCACTTGCAAGTGACTTCCTTCATGTGGATACTTTTACTTAGAAATAATAAGAGGAAAAATTATAAATGAAGTCCTTGAAAATCATCCGGAAAGGTCCTTCAAAACATCCCTGAGCATCGAGCATGCCGTTCAACGCCATTCCCAGCCTTCACCTCCACCTAAGCGTCTGCCGAAGTGACTGACTGACCTGTGAAATGTTGAGTCCGTTCAGCGGCAGACACTGCTCCTCGACCCGCTCCACGGCACCCGTCCTCTTGGTCTTCTTGGCTTCGAGCGCCAGGTAGAGGTCTAGCACGGGCACGCCGCGCGCGCGCACATCACTCTCAGTCAGCATGTTCACCATCAGCATCACCCAGATGGGCCGCTTCTGCTCCCAGTTGCCGGCGATGGCGTTGAAGAGGTAGTCGGCGTACAGTCCGCGGCCGCGCTGGTCGGCGGTCAGCCACAGCGGCATCATGTTGCGCACGTAGTCGAGGTGCTTCTCCAGCCGGCGGTAGATGTCTCCGGGCAGAAGCTGCTCGAGACGCGCGCCGCGCGGCAGCAGCTGACACTTGGTCAGCGCCGATATGGTGTGCTCGTCAGTCAGGTCGAGCTCGAAGAACACCGAGTCGGCCAGCCGGAAGGCGCGCTTCACGTTCTCCGGAATGTGCTCCCAGACGCGGTTGTACGGCACGTGGATGGTGCCGAAAAAGTACGACGGTGGTTTGGTGTCGATCCGCCACAAGAACGACGACTGGCGAGACTGAAACAGACGGAGTGAGGCGACTGTCAGAGGACCGAGCATCGAAAGCAACATGATGTCCTCAGGCTTTATATCACGCATGAGCCGTGTTCTACCAGATCTTTTTACTGGGTGTCAGGGGAGAAAAATAAGCAACCTTTTGAAACATTAAAAGGCTGTACATTTAATTTCACTTGTGGACTGAGATATGTATATGTTACAGGCAATGTGTGGAATCAGGCATTCTATAGAATGCCTAGGCTTTCTATAGAATGCCTGGCCGACCAGGCATTCTATAGAATCCCTATGTATTCTATAGAATCCCTGACTGCTTAGGCATTCTATAGAATGCCTGGCTTAAGCTCCCAGGCATTCTATAGAATGCCTAAGTATTTTGATTGTCCGAAACACACTTCGAAAATTAGGGGTCAGTGGCAGTAATGCTATTTGTTAACCTAATTTTCTTTGTTGGCCTAGGCCGGTCGTCACCTCACACCATTTCAGGGCAATGAGTTGAGAGGAAGCGAGGGAGAACTTGGGCTATGCCGACCACCAAATGGTGCGCCGCAAGCAGCAACTGATCCAATCCCGTTGGCACGGGAGAGCCACGGCGCAAGGCACGCGGGAGAGCCACAGGCCAACCAGTCGCAAACGGTTACCCTCGGAGGATTACGCCGCTACAGATACGAAGCTGCATTAGAAGAGTGTTGGCTGGGAGGGTGGACCGTAGGCTTGAATCGAAAGTGATTGCGAATGACGGTGGCTTTGTTCTGATGTTAGAAATGAAGGTGAAGAATATACCAAAGGTCACATTTTATGTCGTCATAAGCACTTCGTGTAATGACTCCAATATACATGGACAGCTCAACCCACACTGTAATGTCAGGGAATAACCCAAATAAATGGTTCATTATTCCACGTCCGGGCGGTGGCCCGGCCGTAACAAGAGCCGGATTAGGTGTTGTTCGACCTCCCCTTCCAGCTTGACTTCTGGGCCATGCGGTATTCGAAAGGTTGTCAAAATAATGAAATTTTACTCCAGTTCTTCTTTGCCAATGTTCGAAAGGATGCCATATCTAAAACAAATAGCTAAGCCATTTTTAGGTCAGGCAAATTTTTGTCCATTTTTGGCTCGTAGCCGTTTTCTCCAGTTTGACCTTAAATCAATTCCTTAGAAGGCAAACACCTCCAGAAATGGACGATTTGTCAAACTTTTTTTCTGTGTAATTTTTACCAAAGGCGTTTCCGATATTGACATTACCACCATCGTCTTTCTAGCGTTAAGATAAATACTCTGTACTTTCAGAATGAAATCCTGATACAATTTGACCTAATAAGGCTAGATTGAATACCTGACCGGAAAATTTGACTGAATGAACATGAATGACTGAATGAACATTTGACTGAATGAACATAAATAGCTGACCGCAAGGTAGCCTACAGAAAATAATAATGTTACATATCGGTCTGTGCTCATAATCTTATACATACAACATACACTAATATGTTCGTGATTCGTGTATTTCCTAGGCATTCTATAGAATGCCTGAAAATCAGGCATTCTATAGAATGCCTAGGGATTCTATAGAATCCCTGGTGGGTCAGGCATTCTATAGAATACCTAGGGATTCTATAGAATGCCTGGTCGGCCAGGCATTCTATAGAATGCCTAGGCATTCTATAGAATGCCTGATTCCACACATTGCCTGTAACATATATGCAGCATTTCCATTGAACAATGGACATTGGACATTACACGTCCTATCTTGTTTCTTGTTCATAAACCATGCAAAATGAATGTGACACTTACGGCTCATCACTTGACAGTTTGTAAATACAAACCGTGCATCATGGGCCGTGGGGACGCCTGGTACCTAATTATTCATGCTGCCAACCACGGACGGTGGAACGGAACGTGCACACCGTAACAAACTGCATGTCATGTCTTTGTGAGCATCTGTTGCAGAATTACCTACAAGTTGATAACGCAAACATAATGCAACGATACATGGCGGGCATTGAGGAAAATTCACGGCATGCGACATCGCCATCCTCGCGTTTTCTCCGCGCACTTTTGTCCGGGAGCTGGCATTTTGACACCATTCCAGCCAAAAGAAGCGCATCAAAAGACTGCCAGGACTCGGAACAGCAGTCAATTGTGGTTCTCGGAACGCCGGCCGGGTAGCCAGGTGACTGAATGCATAGCCATTCGCGGGCCGGCTCCGGCTGATACATACAGGATCGTCATTACATACCGCCGCTGCCGCCACCGCCGCCGTTCGCTGGCCGAGTCTGCCCCGGCTCCACGGTCAGGACACTCTGCCTAGCGCCCCTAATTGCTCAGTTTGACAGATAGTAGACCGCCGCGGCGTGCCGGTAGCGCCGACCTGCCGCTGACCTGCCGCTGACCTGCCGCTGACCTGCCGCTGACCCCTGCCACCCCGTCACCCGACCTGACCCCGCCGCCGCTGCAGACCCAGCCCAGTCGCACAGCCGACCGAGCCCGCTCATCAGCCATGCAGTGCGGCGGCGGCGGCGAGTTCTCAGCGCGCCAGTCCGTCAGAGGCCGATCGGACGGGCGCCCGAGGCGAGCGCCGGTAATCGGCCTCTCATTAGGTACTGAGCGGACGGCGGCGGTGCCGGCGGCGCCCGGTTAACGGCACGATACTCCGTGCAGAGCCGGCAGTGCCCGTGCTCGCGCAGTGGTAACCACGCTGGTGCTCGCTGGCTCGCGCTGATCAGACGTCAAGGATACTGCGGACCGGATCGGCGGCAGTGAGCGCCGAGCGCCGGGGCCGGAGCTGAAAGCCGAACAGTCGGGCTGCACGAACCGAGAGAGATGGAACAAATCAACCCGTGCAGCATTGATGGGATATGCAGGTCCCCGTTTTCTGGCGGAGCAGTTGAAGGCTTATGAATGAATCGCCACGAGACAGACTAACCATGTCGCCAGATTGATTCTCATCCAGTAAACCAGACATTACTATCCTGTCCTCAAGTTCAAGCAACCACTTTTATATTATTGTCCTGACGTCTGTTCATGAGTGTTTTTCATAGCCGAGAAAGCACGTCATAGCGCTTCTCTAGACATCAAATGGAGCAGGAGCTGGTACCGGCCGACGGCTGAGGCCCCGTGCCGGTGAGACTCTGAGAGGTGGGCCGGGCCTCAGTGGCCACCACGGCGGAATGCTGGGTCATTAATTACGGCCGCACCGCCGCACACAGCCGCTATTTGAGTTCGGAAGTGGCCAAAATGCGATAACTCGTTAACCAGTTGACATTTTGCCAAGGAATTTTTATCATATGTGAAGTAAACCTTAAGGTCACGTATGGAAACGTATGAGCATCCTGCTGATCAGCAGCATTGCCGTAAAAATATTTTTGCTTGTAATCCGCGGATGACGGGTATATCCCATAACGTGGGTGACTCGGCAGGGGATTCTGCATAGCTTCCCTGATGTCTTCGAAACTACTCGTTCAATACTAAAAATTCAAGCGGTTTCTGATAGGAATAGCTGACAAACGAGACCTAACTTTGTCACAAAAGGTCATGGAAAGGTCATGGGTCACAAAAGGTCATGGAAGGAAATGCATACATTTTTAAGGTCATGCGACACATCTTTAATGGTCCATTTCGGCAAAAGCATCTAAAAATGATGTCATCTGGGTCGTCCGATTCGAAACTATTTCCATTCGACAAATGAAGGTCAGGTCACGGCGAGGTCAAAAAGGTCAAATTTTGAAGTGGAACATTCTCAACAAAAAAGATGTGCATCGGATACAATTTGAGCTCTGGAACACGATGATGCTATTCGTTTTGGTTTTCGATGGCAAGAACGTACTGAAATTGCCTTTGCAATATCGAAAATTGTGATTAACCGACTACGGTAAAATGCAAAAGCCGACAACATTACCATTTCTGAACATATCTGACTGAAACTTTCCAAAAGCAATGCATACGTTACATACAAAAGCCAATAAGGTTCATTCTGGTCGATGGCTGCTCCCCAAAACTCTGAATGTTATCAACCATATCGGAAATTCTTACGATGTTCTGTTGGCTGGATGTCTTTTGGCTTTATTGAATTTGATCAGACTACATTCAGTTAAGACGACGTACATTTATTGGTCACCAGAAAGTATACCCACAAGTCAATCGACAATCGACAACCAACAAATGCAATCGACACGAGCGTCGAGCACCCCCCCCCCCCCTCCGCACAAGCAACTGCCGGGGCGATTAGACGGACCGCGCTCCTCTCTCGCAGCTGATTGGTCAGCTGCCGAACCGCACGGAAGTCAGCTGCACGGCCGCCGCCCGGCCGACCTGACCGGGGTCGGCCGGGCGGCGACCTAGCGTCGCTAGAACTGCAATAACTTTTGCCGGCAGTGTGATGCCGACCTAATTTTTTCAGCAAATGAATCACAATTGTACGGTATATGTTATGGACGCTGTCTCGAGGTGAAGCACGCTGTGCGTTTTTTGGTAGGCCTATGTAAATATTGAGACCCTCAAGCCCTTCTGCTTTGTGCAAGTGTGCAACAATTAGCTTACAATAACTGAGTGGGAAGTTTTTTAGATGCACTTTTGTTACCAATGGATTCAGCACATTTTCCCCTTTCAGCTGATATCTTACTTATGCATTTTCAAGCAAAGAATATGACAGGAGACTCGTCAACATTTACATGAAAATCGCAGCACAAGTTCGGTCTCACGGAGCAAAACAAAACGGTGTACTTTGGGAGCCCACCAATCTGTGCCAGGATGAGTAATATTTTTTCTGGATGATATTTTATACAGTCTGATCAATTTACGACCAGAAAATGTGAGAAAAGCACGCTTTAAAATTTGTCAAAAATTAGGGTATTGGCCACTTCTGAACCTGGATAGCGGCTGTGTGCGCCGGCTCTCACTGCGGCCACGCGAGGTGTACGAGCGGTGGGCGGCACCCGGAGGTCAGACTCGGGTCAGCCCAGTGTGTCAGACAGACCCGCATAATACAGGGTGGGTCCTCAGTTCTCACAGGTTCTCAAAGATATGAGCAGGGTGGTGAATGGAATTCGTATTCTGGGATTTACATACTCGCCCTTGTTGCAGACATTGCATCATTTGGCATGCCATTGCATCAGGCGTTCCGTTCCGCTTCCAGTGCTCTCATTCATTCAGATTCAATTAGCGTGTGCTTATCATGATGGGTGGTTGTTGCACGAATCGTTCCATAATCATTTAAACAGCTATGAATATGAATTAAATATGTATTTGATTACAAACGCATTTTGTGTTGAGCGGCGAAAGAAAACGCATTTGTAATGCGCTTGACTTTGCCCTTATATCTGAAGCAATTACTCCATAATCCATGCCGTCTGGTATCGCATCTGTCCGTCCATATCGTACCTCTCCGTCCTTGTGTAGAAACATAGCAACCCAGACGAACAGCCGAACAGCAGCGGTCCCTTTTCTGCGGCTTGTGATGAGAGCCCTCCGCACGCACCACCGCCCCCGCCGCCCGCCGCTGCGCCGCCTCCGCCCTGCCGCCCGCCGCCACCGCCGCCGCCCCCGCCGCCCGCCGCTGTGCCCCCGCCGATGGCTATCAGCCGTCTGGAGCCATCCTGGCCCGCCTCCCAGTCCGTTTGTCGACTTCCCAGACCCGACTGCCAAATCCCGGAGCCCACATCAGGACCTAAGTATGGGCACTTCCAGGACAATAGGTGGGTGGTGCCTGGGTAACCGCCGGCTTCTCAGTCGGAACCATCAGCGGAACCACGGCTCTCGGTGGAGGCGATGAAGAAACAGCACACAATTTTGAGTGATTTGGTACAACGGTGATTTTTAACATGATATCAGTATGTATATCGTTAAACGCCCTGAGTTCAGCAACGCTGTTCGGACAACATCGCTCTCTTACTTTAGGCATCGGATGGGAAAAAGGAAAACAAAGTTCGTCAGTATAAGAATTCAATGTCGCTACAAAAATCGATTAACGGGTGTCAAGTTCAAAATGGGACAAACGCAAAATTAAGGTAGACACTGTGTATTATTAGATATTTTAACGAAACCTTCACCACATATACCTTGTTCTGTCGCCAGTCCACTGGTACTAATGAATTTGAACCAGGGGTCCATGCCTGTCTGCCAGACGCACGTGCTCTCCCGCTATCTTCATTATCGATCGCGGCACCTCCGGGACAATTTTATTGATGCTGCTCAGGATTCTGGCACGCAGCTGCTGATCGGATGACGCTGTCCAGCCACCACGGTAGACTTCTTGTTTAAGTATGCCCAAGAAGTCCTCAACTGGTCCCAGCTGCGGGACATTCGGCCGGTTTTCCTAGCGGATTAAATATCAGGTATGCCAGCCTCCTCCAGAAACTGGCACGTGGCACGTGCATAATGAGCTGAAGCCAAGTCTGGCCAAAATGCATATCCATCCCTTCGGTAGCTGGCCTCGATGACCGGTTTGAGTTTGCTGTTCAGACACTTTGTGATGAAGACATGGGCGCTAACATTTGTTGAACTGGGGCAAATTGTTGGTTTTGCTACTCCCTTGGGTGATATGGCTATCCACACAAGAAGCTTACGTGGGAACTTTCCAATCGGACGATACGTCACATTCGAAGGTATGTCTCCACCAGGCCCAGCGTAAAAACCACGGTTTTGTGGCATTTCTGAGCCAGTGTAGGTTAAGTAGCTTTCATCGTCCATGATGGCATCTTGCTCTCGAGTGGCACTCAGTTTTCCCCGGCTAAGGGGTCGCAGGCGGCCCTTTTGAGATTGTTCTCGCTGAGCAGATACCGGAGGAGCTTTCTGGCGCATCCTATATCTTACCCCTTCCTCTCTGAGAATGTGTCTCACTCTGTCATGCGTTATGCCAAAGCTGCGGCCTAAGAGACGAAGTGAGACGCCGACTTTGCCGTCTGCCATGCAAACAAGGCCTTGGCGCCTCTTTGCTGACATTTTGGGAGCAGGCCTGCCATTCAGAGCTCGTCGTATGTGTCCTTTGTCTAGGAATGTATTGATAACGCGATATATCAGTCGGTCGTGGAATACCAAGCGATTTAACATGGCGGAAAACCTGAGCCTTAGTCAAGTTCGGGTTTTGTCAACTACTCTCGCGACAATGTCTCTTGCGGCTTGCTTGCTCAAAGGCTTCATGACGACTGATCTATATACGTAGCCACAATATTTTAACATCATGCTCGTGCAATTCACGTATGGACATTCTGTCCAAATTTCAGGTGAATAGGGAGGTTGAAAATAGAGCGATTTCAATTTTGTCTCATTTTGGACTTGACACCCGTTATAACGTCTAATTCATAACAATTTAATAGAAAAAGCATTCTGTGGAAAACATATGAAAGACAACAACTAGGGATAAACGAAGATAAGACAAAGGTCTCGACAAGTGAAAAACGTTTTGTCCGTCTTGCAGTTCGCCAGTCTGCCGAGGGCTGACGCCGTCCGACAGCCGCAGTCGGCACAGCCGTCACCGCCACCGACGTTTTTCTGTCACACCAAGACGACAAGTGGAAAAGAGGAAACCGACAGACCGGCAGAGAACTGAGCAAACACGGAGGAAAGAGCCAAAAGAATCACTGAAGGGAGAATGTTTGAACTTTCAGCCCAGGCTGCCGTTTGTTGATTTTGATTCCGGGGCACTCAGCTGCTCTGATGTCTGACTAACATAGGAACCACTCAAACGTGTGTATTTGACGGAAGGAGCCCCTGAGGAGTGTGTATTTGACGAATGTTCTGAAAATATTGCATCTCGAGAGGGCAAAATGACTCTGCGAAAGGTCGGTGTGTGAAAATAGAGCCGCGTGGTGCTGTTTCAGTTCCTTGTGTCATCTATATCTGCTGGGATAGTCGTCGATTTAACTCACCTGCGGGTCACAGTAGTCAGGTCGCCGCGACCGACGGGCCTCCGTTCCGCTCAGAGCCACCACGATCACCAGCAGCTGCAACAGAGGCACAACACCGGGTCAGGAGTCTGACGGAGTCAGCAACTCGACTGTCAACATCGAGTGAACGATCAGACAGGTCAGCAGCTGCACCAGTAACACAATGCACGGTTAGCGGTCAGGCAAAGTCAGCAGTTAGCCTGAGACAGCGGCACAGAGCGAGGTCAGCAGTCTGAAATTCTGCCGCAGTACGGCATGGTTCAGTGGGCTGAAATTGTGCAGCAGAGAGCTGGATCAGCGGTAGCGGGTTCATCAGTACACGATCGTTTAACGACATGGCCATGGATGGGATGATCGCACATCGGATGGAATGAGTGGAGATCGGAGGAGGTTGGCGGATATGAATTTGGTCGACTCAGGAGCATTGATTGAGATCGATGTTGAAGCGTGTCAGACGATATTAAATGAAGTGTGGGAGAGGTCGATACCAGCGGATGGGCCAGACGAGATGAAAGCTGAATACAAAAATGTCAAAAACTTATAAAAAGTCAAACACTGACACGTCTTTTATCAAATACCATCAAATGTCAGACACAGCCGTCTCGTTTTGAAACAAACGAGGTCACATTCTCCAATAACTTTTTGATACGGAATTCAGCGTCGACCACAGTGAAAATCCGGGCTTTGACTGCAAATTCTAGACAGGGACTGACGACATCAGAGCGGCAAGGAAGTCCACAAGCTCGGCCAGAGGTGGGGCAGAGGCTCAGGAATTAGCTAAGGTCGAGCCTAGGCACGGCTAAGTGACCCCGCCAGGTACGATATCTGTAAAACGCAGTTCGTGGGCCATTTCTCAGCGGTGCACATCACAAGATCGGGCTGGTAGGTGGATCAAACGGCGGCGCCTCTGAAGTCGGGGCCGCCCCGCGAGGACGATTTATGACCGCCGATGGCAATCTCTCAGAACTGACTGCGGCACGGGCGGCGGCACGGGTACAGCGGACAGAGAAGGAACAGGGACGGGTACAGCGAACGGAGGAGATCGGGAGGAACAGGCACGGGAACAGGGACAGAGATAAGAGGAACGGGACGGGTACAGCGGACAGAGAGGGAGCGGAGACGGGAACAGGGAGAGAAACCAAAGGAGCGGGACGGGAACAGGGAATAAAGATCAGAGGAACAGGGAACGGAGCTCAGAGGCGCAGGACGGGTACAGTGGACGGAGGAGATCGGAGGAACATAGATGGGGACAGGGGACAGACGCCATCATAGGAACAGGGACGGAACAGGGCAAGGAGGAGATCGGGAACAGGGGACAGAGGAGACGGAACTGGGGACCAGAGGCCCGAGACGAGAACAGGGGACAGAGACACCGAAGGAGACTACTCGAGGTAGTCTGGACTGGTATGTAGGACGGTCCCAACCTTTCAAGAAACTTGAAACAGCGACAAGGAGACGACAAATTCGGTTGATGGCTATTGGCTAGCCTGGTGTATAAAGGCAAAGATGAAGGCATCTTTGAGCTGAAATTCAAAAAGCAAGACTTAACTATGAGCTAGAAAACATCGTTCAGCTTTTTATGCTGGGTAGTGTATAAGGAGAGCACATGGAAGTGGATATGTCTCAGTAATACGGACGTCGAGGTATTTTATTGGCCGAGAGCTGTAGCTGCTTGTTACAGAGTTGTTCATAAAAACGGATGTTTCAAAATGAACTTTTTATTGTAATTCATTCAGATGTAGGCTCAGAAAAAAAAATTGCTGCCCCGACATATGACAACGTTCCGGAGCATTACCAGACACGGGATATTCACATGATAAGTCACCAGCAGGGGCCCTGCACTCTGGCACCGCAAAGCTGCAGGTGGGCCGATACTAGCGTATCCCAAATAGCAAGGCACCAGACGCGCACATGTTTTCTCGACAGGTGCAAAATATAGGCATCTATGTTTTACCCAGAAACCGACGACAAGACCGGAACTGTAATACACCACGGAATACATATCTAAGTAAACGATAATTCGTATGATATTACTGAGAGGGAATAGCGGTTACTGAGTTCAATGCATTCTGACAAACAAATCTACTTAGCCTCCGCTGTCAAAACAATGTAAACTGCATATCTTTATTGCATGCCGTCTCGGTCAAGAAATTTTATATCAGGATGACATGTCAAGCAGTTTCATGCAAACGGCAGGCATGAGGAAATAATAATTACTGTATAGTATTGAAGGCATTCCTAAGGTCACACTAAAATAGCTTCCCTTTGTAAGTGACAGCACCACACAGTGTTTCAGAGACTGTGGTCGACCGAACCGATTTTGGCGTGCGCCCCTGAACCAATCTGGTACGGAGCACTGCCCCGCGGGAGCAGGGGAACGAACGAGAGAGGAGGAAGGGCGGCCGTCATCAGGCGGGCTAATTAGCGCGCCGAGGAGACGTCAGCCGTCGGCGGCGACAGCTCGGTTCGTCGGCGGCGACGGAGCGAGGTCACGTCGAGAACGACGGAGGAGCGACGGCAGCGGCGGCCGAGGGCCAACTAGTTACAGAGACTGGTATAGACTAGCCACAGACGGGGCATTGGAACTCATCTATCGGCACTTCATTCCGGAGAGCAGGGGAGCAAATCCTCCCGCATCGGTCGTTACGCTTATTAGATGTGACGGCCGAGCGTCACCCTCGTCACGGAGGTGGTCATAGTCACGGCCGTGACGGTCAGTGGACGGTGTCCGCTGTCACGGCTCATTTGGTACGCACAGAGAGAGAGAGAGGGAGAGAGGGAGAGAGGGAGAGAGAGAGAGAGAGAGAGAGAGAGAGAGAGAAAGAGAGAGAGAGAGAGAGAGAGAGAGAGAGAGAGAGAGAGAGAGAGAGAGAGAGAGAGAGAGAGAGAGAGAGAGAGAGTCGGTGCCGACCACTCTGCAGCCGCCGGGACGAGTCCGTATATATCGATGATGACGGCGATTACAAATGAACCGCGCTCGCCAGCGGTCGGCGGCCGCGGTACGGACGGCGGCGCGGCGGCGCCCCAGTCCTGCCTGATGAATAGTTCCAGTCCGCCGTCAGGAGAAATGACGGTAAATTACCTCACGCGGAGACGGAGACACGGCACCTGTCGGACAGAGCTCCGAGGGGACCTGCCGCACCGTACCCTCCGGAGCGGTCTCGAGACTATTCGCCACGCCGCTACACCGCGCAATATCCCAGTATGGGAATCAAGTGAGAGTATTCTAATAGAGGATTTATTGATAACAAACGAAAGCGCGCTGCCGGCGGACTCGTCCCCGCCCTCCTGGCTTACCGACTGCGCCGGGGTGTCTGGCCGGCCGCTGGCGCCTTTTTACCGCGGTCCAGCTGAGCTAACCGGAGGGACAGGCGGAAATCGCGCACAATGCCCGCCGACCTCATCCATCACTCGGGGTGTAAGCCTGACTCGAGCGTCCCGAATCGGTGGCGCTCGTCATGAGGTCTTAATCCGGTGGCGGCGGCCGGGCGATCCCCCGATGGCGGCCACTCGGGTCGCTCCGGGGCCAGCCGGGCGCTCGTCGACCCTTCCCCGTTGTCACAATTTAATGCCGTCATGAGGCGGGCGGGGCGCGGGCCCGGCCGGACGGCGACCGCAGTCGGCGGCACCTGTGATCTCCGGGCACGGGCCGGTCACGTGACCGCCAGGTAAGGTCACGTGACGGCCAGGTAGGGCCCGGCGCGGCTGGGCGCAGCGGGATATCCGCGGCAGGGTCCCGGTCGGGCTCTGGGAAGGACTCCACGGCGCGGGGTCGCAGCGGAGTCGGTACCTGTATCTGCCGCGGTGGGACCGGCGCGGCGGCCGCCACAGCTGGCGGCAGCTGGCACTGTTTGCCCCGGGCACCGCTGCGCCAAACACTGGAACAAATTGGCAATGGCACCGACGCCAAACAGGGGGCCACCATTTAAACCACCGGCTCCGCGGCTTGCCACACGGGCCATGGGAGCGGTAAATATTGGCACAGAGTGGTCACTGTCATCGCCGCGGGCCTACCTCAAGATCGCAATGCGGCACGTCGAGTGCGCAGTGCGCACTCCACTGTGTTGGCATTAGCCCGGGAAGCTCTTTGGTCTAAATCCGGCACATCTCAAGAGCCCCTGGGAATCGGGTGTGCGTACACACGGATGGGATGGGCCTTACGGTGTTAAGCGTCTCCGTATTTCCATCGATTATCACACCAACCAAACCTAGGCTAGGCCATTAGGTAAAACCCCAGTCATTAGTGACCACACCTACGATTCGTGCGCTCATCGGCTACAAACCGTTTACCAGGCGGACGGGTGCCACGCTTCACGGCCGGGCCACATACATGAGGAGGTCCGCCACCGGCATGGGGACATGTCGCGTGCAAAGGCGCCTCTAATGACACCGTTTAGTTCGTGTAGCATTACCCGTCATCAAAGGAACCATTCAGGTCCGCTCACATCAATCACTTACGGCATTCCAAGCGAGCAATGATATTTAGGCCGCAGCTGGTAGGCGGTGCGCTGCAACCGAGAAAAACTCGGGGCCATTATTTAGGGTCGTGACAGAAAGTCCAGGGAACTACCGGAGCAGGGATTAGAGTCAACTGGCTAGGTCATCAGGGTAATCTTTACAAATGTGAGAGCATTAGAGCGCGGTGTGTATTTCGGTTAAAGGGACTGTCCCACCTTTAAAAAATTGCTTTGATATACTGTTCTTGTGTTGCAAGACATAGATTAGGGGCCCCTGTACACGAAATTGGCAAACATTCGGCCCATAGTTGGCTAATTGTTTAAAAATTCCAATTTAAAGATTTTGGATCGATTACGTCATATGATTGTTTTCTTATCGGGCAAAGTTTTTTTCCTAGCTGCCAAATCGGTGGCACAAAGTTTTGTTACGCTTCTGCCGCGAATAGTACAAACATTGCGCATGAAATCAAAACTCAGGAAATTGGTATTTTAGTAACATGCAAAGTAACACAAACATGTTCAATGTTCATGGAAAGGATTGAAATGAAAATTGGAAAATTGAAGCTTGAACTTTGTCAAGAAGAAGGTCGCAAACTGCAAAGAATATCAACAAGGCCTTATTTATCATTTTTAAAAGATTATAGAATGCTCCCTAATAAGCAAAAGCAAGATATTGATGTTTGATTATTGATGCTGCCCACAATGTCTTGGGCACATGGATGATGGAAGTGAGCTCAACTTCAATAATCAGACCTAAGAATCACAATGGATATAGCCATGAGCCAGACTGCAAAGTATGGCAATTTTGTCCAGATGTCAGTGCAGACTCCTTTGTCTGGTGCGGATTTAAGTGTGGTGCGGTGTGGATTTGGTTTGGTGTGGTGCAGATTTAGTGGAGCGGGGTGCGAAGTGTTCTCTCAGCCCTCTTTGGTGTGAATTTTCTGGCTCAGTTTGCAGGGTTTGTGTAAATTTTGAACTTAGGCCAGTGCTCCTTGGCGACCTGCGAGCCATACTCTGCAGTACTGGCCTGGGCCCATGAGCAAAGTAATATAATATAGTCTGTTCAAGATTCAATATAATAAGTCTGCAAAACACATTCCAGCAATTGTAATTGAAGCAGAATGAATTGTAGTGACCTGCATTTGTATTTTTGTTGTGTCTGTGAAAAATAATAAATATACCTACTTATTGGAAAAATCGTGGCCTTTCAGCACATTTGGCAGAGTTGTGTGACTCTGATGTAGTGGCTCATGTGGAACGCAACGAGCTGCGGAACAAGCTTGAATAGCATTTTGCCTCAGGGCTATCTGCCAGAAACATTTCATCTGCATGAATTTATCTACAGGCAAGTCTGACAAATTTGTGGATTAACTGGGGACCTTGTAAGCCTGCATATTAAATTCTAGCCTACCAGCTCAGCCCTATCCTCAGTTTCAGCATTCAGCATGATAACAGTTCTGATCAAGTTCTGATTGTCACCACTGAGACACCAATGGAGTCCTCTGAAATTTTTCCTTTTAATTAAATTATTTGTAAGAGTTTCAAGCTATATTTAGACCAAACATTTCACTCTCAAAGATCTGCGACCTACCCCACTCGTCCAGTAGGATGCCTGGCGTGCAAACAGTCCAGCAGTGAGCTGCCAGCCGGCACGCAGGGCAGCAGCAGGCAGCGGCAGCAACGGCAACTGGTGAACACGTCTTGGACTGCAGCCACGACATAATCTAGGCTAGCGTCTATTTAATTTGTCCATGTACAAGTCCCACAGCTCCTGCCCGAGGTGCCCGAGGTTGCGCAAGTCAGGGAACTGACCACCTCCAGCCCAGGCGTGGTTCACTGACTCAAGATATTTCGACTGACCAGTCAGAGTTCATGTTTTGCAACTTTTATCCAAGTTATTTGTAATTGTAATATTATAAACTGAATTTTAGGCATGACTTCATTTTTCAAGAGCTACAAAGAACACACCTTCCCTGTGCAGCACGTCTATTGTCCTAACATTAGTCACATAGTTGCAAGAAGCGACTTGAATGCGGAACCTGGCCTGTTTTGAAGCCCTGTTGTCTGTTGGGTGACACTGCACAGAGGTAAGGATGGGGTGTGATTTTGCTGCTGTTTGTCAGGTTCAATATGTGTGTCAATTAAAAAATGCACAGCATGGCCTAACAAAGCACATTACCTAGGTTTTGACAAGCAGCGCAGGCGACTGTGGTACAAAGGCCCAGTCCTGGTCCCATGCTCATGTTAGTAGCTTGATCTGCTCCCAGGAAACAAAGGTAAAACACTATTGACAGCTTTAAGATGAAATCTGCAGGAAAACTAAGCCATCTATAAAATCTAACATAAGCATAAAAGCGCAACAGAGCATTTCTGATTCAACGTGCAGCACTTCCGCTTTCATCCGCCATCAGCAACTCAGTTCAAAGAATGATGCATTACATCACTAAAATTTATTTCATAATACCTCTGCATGGTGTTCACACAAACAACAGTTCTTTACTAGACATGGTCGACCTCAGGCCACCCACACTTCAGCAAACAGGGTATTATCAATGTTTAACGGCTCAAGGTTAGTCGTCTTGGATGTTCAGAAATAAAAAGGTGAACATTCATTGTCTCTTCCTTATTTGTCACCATCAATAGATTGTGGACTCCTCAGAGCATGTCTTGATTATGGAGTTGAAACAGCAGTGAGCAAATCATTTATGATTTTGATACTATGATTAATTTCAGTGAGTTGCACACTTGAACTTGACACCTGCCATTGATAAGTTCATGGCTCTTGCATTCTTCAGTCACATGTAGGACGGCCTCTTAAATATTTAAATACAAAAATAAAAATACTGCTAGAATTAGAAGACTATTAGAATTAGTTTGGCATATCAATTTAATTCTCCACCTCGTGGCGCCGGGCGCTGTTCCAAGAGGCGTTGTTATTTTTCAAGGTTTCAATAAAAAACAAGTCGACAGATACAGAAACTTCGGAAAAGGCGGAAACGTCACAGGTTTTAAGTGCCAATACCAATACATTGTGGCACTTATTTGCACAGATGTCAAAATCAAACACGAATTTATTTGCGATGAAGTAATTGCTGGAGAAACGGTTTTCACGACTCTGATTTTCAAAGAACGCCCATCAAGATGGCTATCTCAACTCAATTCTAATGTTAAGGTGGGACAGTCCCTTTAATAGACGGCTTGTTATGAAATGAGGGTACGAGATATGGTGGCGGTGAATTTTCGCGTCTTGTGAGGGATTTGAACGTCATTGTAAATAGGTGATCTCAGGAAGGATGATATACTATGACATTTCACTGCGGAAACGATAAACTTACCATATAAATCAGTCTGGGCAAGGGAGCTCCACTTAGCACCAGCAATCCCATGGTTGTCCCGGCACAAAATCACCTGATCGATGCACCACTTTGTCCGAGCCACTGCCCCATTATGCCCCAGGCACCTCGCACGCACCGCACACTGCCTGGGCACCTCGTTCGCAGCCCCACGCACTCCCCCCCACGGCGGCGCGCGGCTCACTGGCAGTCGCCGGCCGGCCGCTGCACGGCGGACCCGGGCGGCGTGCCCGCGCCCCGCGGCGGTCGGCGGCCGGCCCGCCGACCAATCAGAGACCGCCGCTCAGCCGGCCGGCCGCTGAGGTCAAGCCCGTGTCACGCAGCGGGACGTTTGTGCGGCCGCAGCTCAGTACCCTGCTATGGGGTCAGTCGGGCCCGATCGGCGGCTCCTATGTTTGGTGGACCGTCAGCCAGCGGAGGCGGCGGCGGCCGCTTCAAAGCGCGTATCGGCGATCTTTGTTGGTGGCGCCCGCGCGGCCGGCGCGGCGCCGGTGCTAAAAAGCAGGCGTCGGCGGCGATTAATGAGCGTCTTGGCGGCGATGATGGCCGATTTGGGCCGGCCCGGGCCGATAGATGGTATCGGCCGCTGACGTCCTGGCCGGTCGGCCGCCCCGGGGCGCCGGTTCGACACGGTGTGGGTTACGGTTAGCGGTGACACGGCGGCCCCAAGGCGCGCTGCGGTCGCTTCGTATCTGGCATTGACATACTGGGAGAGGTGAGACGCGTAAACCAAACGGTGATGTGCAATTTGGAGTGATGTTTACACTTTCAAAGTTAAATGCATTTTATTGCGATATCAATGATGATTTGATGAAGAGTATAACATGGATCTCGATTCATTTAACATTTTTTCACTGACAATGGAGGGTTTTAATCGGCTCATTTGTTTCTTTCATTACAGTACCATAATTCGTCTTTTTACAGAACAAAGAACGTCGGAGGATCATTTCATTTTCAGGCCGAGCGAAGCGATGGCTGCTAAACCATGGTGATCCCGATCCGCAGTCCGCACCTTAGTGGTAGGCTGCGCCGCGCGGCATTCATGTATTGCGGTACAGTCTTTCTGAACTTTGGAAAATAAGACCATCACTACGGAACGGCGCCTACGGCTAAATCATGCTATGATGGTTTGCTGTCTTTGAGCTCAGGAGAACAGACGGTTCAAGATAAGTTGAGTATCACGTGATGTTCGGAAGGGTCTCAGTGAGCAAATTTTTAATTTACATACAACATCAACATTCAACATATAATGTCCCAGTTCAGGGTTCTTACGACCAATGTCTCATGCCTCATTCCGAAAGCACCAGCTTGATAGTGTTTAGACAGTGTTTACAATTGCTTCACGTGATAAAAGAGAAAATTATCAGATGTCGTTTAACTGAACTGTTAAACGTCTAGACGATTAACAAACTGTTAAACGTCTACTATGCTTTTCAGACCCCATGAGACCCTAATTTTCGGCGATAATTTATTTACTATTTGTCCAATTTGCTTCAAATTTTCACAATGCACATTTCCGCTCAAGCGCCAATTTTCGCCAATATGGTCTCCTAACAAAATATCAAATTTTAGGGTACTTGTCGTTGCCTCGTAATGTTAAAATCGGCTCCGTAAATCCGTCAGTGGAGTAGAGGCTATCCGTGCGTAGGTGTGACGTCACAAACACGTGACCATTAAGCTCCGCCCTCCCGGCGGACGGGATAGTGACCTTGGCCGGTCAGTCGGCTGCGTGGAGCGGGCGGGGCAGTAGCTGTCGCACCAGGGCGGCTCGCATGGACCGTAGCTGCCGTGCAGTTGTCGTTGCAGCCGTAATTTCATCGAATGAGCTAAATAGCGCGCATAAGTAACGCACCAGCTGAAGCCCTCGACTAATTGTATCTATCACAAATGTACGTACACCTTGTTCAGTCACAAAAAAATATATATTTCCACACAAGATTTGGGGCTTGTGAAAAAAACGCGCATAAAAGACGCTGTTGATTTCAAATGATTGCGTAAGATTATGTATCGCGTCAGACTACGTCAAAATTGCAAAACAGAATCACCATTAACATGATACAATTTATGTGTTTGATATATGAAATTTGATTAGGAATGTATGCCGGCGTGATCTATTTATATCATCCCGGTGCAACTAAGCATTGAACACCTTCAGGACTAATCCATTTGATCATCGACTTAGGTTGAGGAGGTCGCCAGACTAACTTTACCCCCAGAGCTTGTGTGTTGAAATGCAAACATGAAAAGTAAAAGCCTAGAGATAGTTTCCTCGCCATTGAGGACATACTTACTGTTACTTAAGTTTTACAAAAAAGATACGAGTTTATTGATGATCGTTCTCGTGTAGTGCCCAACGTCCGCCTGCCACATTGCTATTTCTTTTTGTGCACGTCATAGCACACACATGACACCGCGATAAAGGCCATTTCTACCATACGACACATTACGCTTCTGCCCCACCCGGCGCCCCGCACCGCTCCACGAATCACGAATACGGTCGTTTCGCTGGAGCGATGCCCCAGGCAATCGGCCGAGCCCGAGACTCTTCATCCTCCTTTGTTGCTTTCTGCGCCTTCCTCAGAAACATTTGTTGGCACTGCCAAATATATCAATATTTTTGGGTCAAGCAGAGGCTTACACATGATCTTATAGGTAATCGGGTAGTGACCTGACCGAACCTGACGATGAGATAGGTGCAACTCCGGCTTAACCCGCGCCCCACTGGGGGGGGGGGCTATTTATAGCCCCCCCTCCCGTTTTTCTGCAATAACTTCCAAACCGCTTGACGTATCGATGCCAAACTTTCAGTACCTTCGGCTGCATCAATTTGACACCTTGTGTCAAAATTTGAACTTCGTACCTACCATAGGTCGGCCGGAAATGACGTCAGAGTGACGTCATGTTCGGCCGATTTCGACGCAAAACATTGAACCACGGCAATCGCTCCCAAGAGCTCAGTTTTTAAGCTAGATCCAATTTGTTTGTATGGCCATCTCGGATTTTCGAAATTTTGAAAATTTCGAAAATTTTATATAATAAAATTTAAAATTTATATTTTTACATTTTTTTCATTTTTATTTTGGACTTTTCGAAAAAAAACGGAATATATGTGATAGAACGCATTATTATGACTAACTCTAGCAAGTTTTAGCTAAATATCTTCAAAAATGGCCAAGTTATACGCATTATTGCAAAAAATTAACAATTATTAATTTTTCAAATCAATTTTTTAGCACGAATTTGACATCGTAGGTACGCCAATATAAATAGCACCATCGTGTTCCTGAGCTCAAACTGCATCCAATAAACACCTTTTTTGTTGAAAAATTTTAACTTCAAAATTTGACCTTTTTTGACCTGAAAGTGACCTGACCTAAGCTAAATTTGACTAAAAATGACCTCGAATGACACAGAAGACATCAAATTCGAAATGCTTGGCCTAAATGGATCATAAAACATGTGTCACGTGACCGACGGATGATATAATATTTTCGTGACCTGTGATGACCTGACCTTGACCTGAAAATCAAAGTACAAGTTTGGTACCCTCAGAGTATCTAGAACATCTGTTCACGAGTGTGTGAACCAAAAATTAACCTGATCTGACTTGTAAGACGGCGGCCAGAGCCCAAAACGTGAAGAAGCCAAAATGCTAATAGTTTTTACTTCGACCTGACCTGTGACGTCATCGGTGACCTCGAGGTCAATGAATTTAGGTTTCGCTCGACAGTTCTTCCGGGGCTATCAGACGCCGTTTGAATTTTGACGATCGGCCCAGTAATTTCGGAGTTAGGAGGGGGCTATGAATAGCCCCCCCCCCCCCCCCAGTAGGGCGTGTTATACGCAGACCCCAGTGGGGCGCGGGTTAAATAAATGTTCAGAGTCCAAGAGTCTATCCATCTTTCCTTCTACGGCCGGTTCCGTTCCAATAGATCCTACCTTGATTCTGATCATTCTGAATATTCTGAGCTGGTTCGACGTTTAAATACCAAAATAAGGTGAAGACTCAGAAGAGGATACCAAATGCCCTCAAACGGATAATTTTTTGGCTTTCGTCCCGAAACAACTTTGCCAGCATCACTTGTCTCCAGTATGTGGTCCCGCTCCGACCTCCCCGCGGTGCTGACACCGACTGAAGCGGCACAGACCCATCGCGGTCACGGCCAGTGGGCGGAGTTTAGTTGGGCCCGGCGCAACGTGATTGGCCAGCGCTCCTATCCAATCCGGTGCGGTAGCGAGCGAGCCTCTATCCGGGTGCAAAAACTGATTAACATTACGAGCCAACGACAAGTGCTCTAAATTTTGATATTTTGTTAAGAGACCATATTGATAAAAATTGGCGCTTGAGCTGAAATATCGTCTGCCAAAATTTCAAGCTAATTGGACAACAATTGAAGAAATAATCGCCGAAAAGCAGGGTCTCATGGGGTCTGAAATGCATAGTAGTAGGCACTTCGTCTAGTCTGAATTATGTCGTATTTTTTATATAAAATGTGTTTTTACCTTTAAGCGCCCGAAACATATCGGCGGTACGGGATAAAACTATTAAACCGCTCGTAGGAAGAAAAAATATTTTAAACGTCTCGCCTATCGTCTCGACATTTAAAAGATTTGTTCTACCTACTCGCGGTTTCATATATAATACATCAAATCGTCACTCCAGCAACATTTGGGCAGTCGCTAAAACCAGTAAGAAGCATTTATAAAACTACTCGATACGCAACATTTTATCTGAAAGTAGAGAGTTGAGCTTTAGGTATACACAGAAAGCTGTAACCGACTTAATAAAGTCTTCTCAATAGCTGGTTGTTGTCCATTTTGCACTTCACTATTGTGTTGAAAATCCTGAGAGCATCATAAGTAGAGGCTGATGACCATGTAATATCGGTCATTTACTGAACAGCAGACGCTGTGAATCTCTCTTCGGCAGCATGGACTGCTATCCAGTGGGCCCGATATTGGACGAGAACGAACAATGGTCATCTGCCGTATAACGAATCTTCGTCGTTGGAAGCATCAGTGCTCGGCTGGTGAGAGGGAGAGAGAGAGAGAGATAGAGAGAGAGAGAGGGGGGGGGGAAGAGAGAGAGGCTACAAAAGAAAAACCAATACATTTAGTAGGTGTATCTTTTATGCCATATATAGCCTAGCTGAATATATCTAATTTAATAATTTGTAAAGAATTCTGCTGAATAATGACCGTTAACAAGTCATAAGCATGGTCACCGTCCCCACATGATGTGGGGCACATCTTTCGTCTCCGCCCAAATTAAGTTGCCAAGTTAATGTGCCATTTGATAGCCCTCCATCTGTCAGCGTTAGTTTGTTGTCGCATCCCCCAGCCAACATGACATTTCACTTTACACGATAGCGCCGGCAGACGTTTCAATGAGCGTGAGTGACGATCAAGATCAACCGCGAGTGTCAACGAACATCGCTCATTCGAGGCACCGAGCATCATTCAAGGGACTCTGAGCGGTAAAATAAACTAAAACCTACGCTAGGCTGCGCGGTGTGACACTAAACAGTTTAGTGCAGCACAGCATGCAGCTAGTGTGTTCATTGTGAGCGACCAGCACTGTGGACTTTGCGTAGACGTTATAACATCTAATATGAGTGTTACGGTCGCTTTAGGTCATCCGAATATTTAACCAATAACTTTCGATCAATTTGTGTTGGCGAGTCGAAACGCCATCAATATGATTCAGAAAAAAATGTTAAATCGAATGATATGCAATTTAACCTCTTTCGGCAGACTTTTTGGCCTGAGCGGCCTTGGCATGACGTTTTGAACCGAGGTCAACGCCCTAAATTGTCTTTTCACAAGTAAAATGTGTAACATTCTAGGCGAAAGTTCTTCACTAAAAACTGTAGCTTTACCTAGGGGCACATGTACACTCGGGGGCAGAATGATGTTCCACCACTCCCTACCTATCGGGCTCCCATGGCTCAGCACTGGCTGCTGCCAGTGGCAGCACTGGCAGCACTGGCACTGGCAGGCAGTGCTGACCAGTGCTGAGGACAGGCAACACTGGCAGCAGCCAGTGCTGAGCCATGGGATCGCCCGATGGGTAGGGAGTGGTGGAACATCAATCTGCCCTCGAGTGTACCTATCTACTGACCTCAGAGGTCATCGGTTAACCTGAGACCTTAAAATCGAATACCAGTCGCTGTTCATCATAGCGTGGCATACACTTGCTCGTTTTTTGCAAAGCGTTTACTAAATTAGGAGCATAATGGCGTCAATGGGTTGCACTTCTTCCCTCGGCCGAGACGTGTGCCGAAAGCCGATAGATCTGGCGACGGTTTACTGTAGCAAATCACTTCGTGCCCAGACCATTTTCGCACCGTTTCTGTGTCCCCGACTAACGAACTCACGCGCAACCGCATTCAATATTATAAATGTTCGGCATCACAATAGGTTCTCTAGTCATTGATTTTAATGTCGTTTTGGTTCATTCTTATTGTGACACGTTTGTGTGAGCTCAGCGCTTCCACACAAAGGAAAAATTCAGTCGTGACTGTCTATTAAATTGTCGATAACGGCCGATGCATCAAAGGGGTCGGTGGAAAAATTAGCTTATGGTAAAACCCTTTGCGTTTTCAATTTTCATAAGCATTGGTTCGAAGAGCATCAATAAAGACGGAAGCGACGAACTCAGCCAATTTATTTCCCATGGCAAAATTGCAGATTTATGTCTTATCAGGCGAAGTAACCGCAGGTATCTAAATAGCCTGCCTATACATAATAGGCACCTATCGTGGGCGTCAGATAAATCCATGCCGTTATCAATAGTATGTCAATTGTTAAGTTCCAGTACGCATTCCAGCAATGTTACGGTAGAACAGTGGATACCTACACAGCGCCACCTACTAACCCTGCGCCGCTGACCCTCAGCGCCACACGCCGGTCCCCAGAACTACAGCTTTCTTACCTGTAAGACAGGTGGCGGGTCGGTCGCCAGCGCCGACCGTGGACGGCAGGTGTGTGAGGCGTGCCGGGCCGTGAACCCGGCGGCACGGCACCTGCGCCGACCAGTCACAGAGAGAGCGCCGACTGCCGTGTCCGCGCCGCTGCTCCATCGAGCCGGGTGGCTAGTGGTGTCGCCAGCGACAGTGAACCCTAGCGAGTGCCGCGCCCGTGTCTCAGAGTGTGTGTTTGAGGGTCAGAGTGAGCCGTACCCGCTCGGTCGCCGGTCTGACCGGTGTGTTTCCGTCGCCCTCGCTGTGTTGGGCGGCTGGTCGGTTCCGGTCCACTGCCCGTCCGCCGGCCGGTTGGTCGTGCCGCTCTGCGCGGCGGTTCAGCCGGCGAGGACGCGGCCCGGCGCGGCGGCCCGCGGCGCGACTCTCGGCGCCGGATGCCCCCCGCCCTCGGCTGACTTCCGGCCACACTTCCGGCACGCGCGATGCCGCTGTTTAACCGTCCGCGGCGGCGCGGCGACGCCGACAGCCCTGTGAACGGCCGCTCGGGCTCGGACGGCGGCAGCAGCTCGGGCGGCAGCCCCGGTCCCGGCCAGGAGCGCCGGCCCGAGTCGCCGGCGCGGCCCAAACTCGTGTTCCACTGCCAGCTGGCGCACGGCAGTCCCACCGGCATCATCTCCGGCTTCACCAATGTCAAGGAGCTCTACCAGAAGATCGCCGACTGCTACGACTTGCCTGTGTCAGAGGTGAGACGGGGCTGGCTGAGGCAGTACGAGACAGACACGGGACATACTGGGAAGGCAGAAAGGAAGGGAGGCACCTCCCGAGCAACACTAACTTGGGGTGTGCAACGGAAGGAACAGGGAGCTATGAGATCAAGCATACGTAGCATACACGCTGTATGGCAGGAGCGAATCGGAGGCTTAGACCAGGTAGTGGTAGAGAAAGTAGCGAACAGAAGCAAAGACAGAAGCAGAAAGAACAGCTGATGAGTCAGAAATGACGGACAGATGTTCTCAGCTGCTGATATGTGAAAGCGCACTAACGAATGTCAGCTTTCTAGCTCGTTGGTCATCCCTCCAGCACAGCACGAGAGACGAAACGTGTCTGGTTTCACGTGTTGGAAGCTTGAACAGAGAGCCCTCTGCAACAATGCACGTTGCACGCCGCCGTGCAAAGGGCGGTTGGGTACGGTTCAGTCATTGTTCCTAGTGTATCGTCTTTCCTGATCACATTCTGTCCGGCGGAGAACCGGGTCCGTTCTCGAATCGGCCAGATTTGTAAGGTTTCGTTTCGGCTCAGTCGCGTCCAGAGACAGAGACAGAGCCGTTCCGTTCGCGTGACATTACGAGGTCAGGTCAGGCATAAGGCCCATTATGCTCATTGGCATTATTTATTCCATGTCTATAAATTGCGTGCACTCATCAGTATATTTGGGATTAGCTCAATTGGTATAAATCCGTTAAAATAAAGACACAAGCGCTCCGAGCTAAAATCTTCATTCATTTCAATACACCGAACGCCAAAAGTCAATGAAGACTTAGACGTGTCCCTGCGACAGCAACAGCACTTTGCAGCTCGCACAGACATGGAACCAGCCGTTCGTTGCTGCAAACTGCCCTGTCACCTCGAGCGATGCAGGTCTGCACGCTGACCGAAGGGGACACCGTTAGCCCCGTTGCACGATGGGCAGGATGACAGTGCTTGAGACGGACGAGTTTTAAGTTTGGAGTTTCCCGGCTTTACCTACACGAGACATAGGAACACGGGAGTAATAGGAAAGTGAGGCATTTATCAGATGTATCATCTTCTGACATTATGATTTATGAGTAATGAATAATGACTGCATAATATTAGACATAATGTTTCATTATTCATACATGAACCAGATGTCTAACAGAACAGAGCACTGAGCCGCTTGGTTTCATTCAGAATGTTCCGTTGGTCCCGAACTAGGGACTCGCATAGTAACCACAGGTTGTTTGATAGGCACAGCACCAGTAAATTCATGCAAGTCGCAGGATAATAAATAAGGTTTTTGAGCAATTATGTAATTATCAAATGAAAAATGACCTTCCGCCACCCACCAGCGTTTTGCGAAGACATTCGCTTGTCGGCCTGTCACGCTGCCGTCCGCTTCCCGCTGGCGTTACATTATCCTCGGGAGACTCGGGCTAGGGGGCACGTTCACGAGGCTTCCTAGCCCTTGGACGGCTTCACAACTCATGTGTCTGCGTCTATAACTGTCTTACAGTGAAACTACTAGATATCATAAATATAAATGAGACTGCTGTTTTGCGTGCCGATGTACGAGCCTTCAAAACAATTAAAATGAAGATAACGGTGCTTCAAAATTATTGAATAATAATCAATTTCGTTTATGTTGGTGAAGCATAACAATATTTTTGTCAGGCTACAGTTCAGTAACGGGACAATATTCTTAACAGCAGCGCGGACAACTATCACCATTCAGCCGGGTAATATCGCCAAAAGCTGCAAATCCATCTCCCCGAAGTATGGCAGATCAAATGCATTAGACGGTCAAGGAAAAAGAAGAACTTCTAACTATACTTTGCATTCTGGCGCCTCAGTACCCTTCAGTACGTATTCGTTATACCTACACAAATAAGCATGCTGAGAAAGAGTTAGAATGTGCTTTTTTCAGATGAAATATGCCAACCGAATTAACCTGATTTCCTATCCGTTCTGCTTACGCCTGAACCGGTTTTAAGCAGATGTTGAACATTCTTATTAGCCATGTAGTTGTCGTGAATACAAGCCATCGTGGACAGCTTAGTCGCGGCATGACTTGAGCCCAGAAAGCAGTTTCACAGTACTTACCTAACTAGCGTCCTTCGTGGCCTCAGCACGGTCATTCACAGTCGTCTAATTAGATGACTCACTGGCGAGGTCCGTGAGGGGTGCGGACGTGGCTCGGTTCGATCGGCGTCCCCTTCCCCTACCCTGGGCTCATGGGGTCCGACCCCTACCTCAGGTGTGCTATCGAGTCCAGCGCTTACTCTAGCCCAGCCCTAGCTTTATGCCCGATGCCCACCCTGGATAAATATCGTATGCTCACCTTCCTTAGATCGACGTCTATACCTTAGCTCGCAAGGTCTGCCCTAGCTTCATCGTGTGTTTTCACTCCGACATCTGACCTAAACCGACATCTTCTCTGACTCCAGCGTCTTTCCTAGCCCTACACCCACCCTCAGCCCGTCATTTGCCTGACTTGGTGGCCGCCCAGCCCCTGGGTCGGCTCCGCCCCGTGATTCCGACAGGGCGGCCCGTAACCACCGGCGCCAGGTGTACCGCCCGAGCCCCGTCGGCGCCGGCCCGCCCCGTCGCTCGGACGGCGCCCCAGCTGTGACCGTTTCCCGGTGACGTCATCAGTGGGCCGCCACCTGCGGTGACGTCATCGGTGGCACGGTCCACTGGCCTGGCCTTCTGTTGTCCTTTGTGTGAGGGTGTTAGGACCTCCGGGTGAATGGCAAAGGTGAAAATCGGCCCGGTAACAGGTGCCAGAGCTGGTAATTTGTAAGTCAAATATGTAGAAACGCTTCATTGAGTGGCATCGAAGAGAAAGAGCTGGACATTCGAAAGACAATTTGATATTTTAGCACATCAAATATAACATTCTCACTTCATAGGTAACTAGGAGTGTGTTAAATACCTATTGCATCGGCTATAAAAGATAAAACTAAAGCACCTCTAGCTCAAAAGGTTCCATGAAAAAGCACTTGTATGTACAGTGTTAACATCACTGTCAAGTCGTCTTTGGCAAAGATCATTCCTCACCGCTGGCCAGCATTAAGTTTAATTCGTCCCGATAATCCCCTGACCGGAAAAAGATCATCGGCCTGCTCGTCCGGCACTCGGAGAACTCGTCCTTTTTCCCACAGATAACCATCGTCGGTATCTTTCATCCTCTGATTTGATGCCGCCGCTCCGTAGGATATTTCTTTTTTTCCTCAACCAGCGCAATGGACAGTCTGAATTCAAATGCCTATACATACTCCGACCGTCTGAAGGTTCCTGTGTAGTTATGCATAAAAAATGTCCGCACTTCCACACATCGCCAGCAAATGAGACCGCACGGCGCACACGGCTCGTTCCAGCCGGTATAACGTTTCAGGAAATATGAGAATACCAGGAAACTGATCAGTAGCCCATAGACGCAATTCCGCGGAGGAAACCAGCCCGTGGAGGCCATGATGCGGACGTGCATGGTGTAGGCCAGTGTAGGCACATTGAAGGCCGTCCTGAAAAAAAAAAATGGCAGGCTCGATCATTATACAATTAACCGTTATGGGGTATGTGAATTCCGCATCGGCATTAGTCCTAATCCCAGAAAACATCACGATCCTAGCTTTTCGCAGGTGCGAGAACGCTCGAGCTCGGAGGTTTCCTGGTAGGTAATTGTTCGTTATCCACTCTGATACTTCATAGTATGTATAATAGTGGGTACTGGGTATGTGCCTTGTTCGAGTCTGAAACGTGTTGGAGGCGACAGCTTTCCGACGTTTTGACCTGAGCGAATGCGACGACGTCGACGTCAAACTGTAAACGTGACCGTCGAAGCGACATATTCTTTATTTTTCATACAAATATCCACTGAATGGTGAGTTATCGGCCTACAAGCGCAATAAAGTACTTTAACCCTCGCCGGCACAGGCCATTTTGCGTCCTTCGACGGCACAAGGGGGGGGGGTTGGTTGGTACGACCCCCCCCCCCTCGCGTTTGGCCCCTGATCGAGCTAGAGCTTCGCGGAAAAAACGAGCGTGTTGCCCGTCACGAGAGAAAGCCGATGATACCCAATTTTAAGGTCCTAGGTCATCGGGTGACCTTCCAGGTCAGGTCAATGACCCGAAAACCAGGAAAATCGGGACCTGTTAGAAAGTCGTAAAGTGTGGCTGCTATGTGGTTTTCCGGGGTGCTGATCACGAATATCGTGTTAGTTTTGATCAGAGATGATGTCTTTAAGCATTTAGACCAGGTCGGGTCAGGTCAGGTCAGGTCAACCGGTAGGGGTTGTGACGGGTATTCGTAATACGTGTCAACCGCCTCTAACAGCTTCGTAGCATGTTACGAAGGCACCAAAACTACTTCGTAAATGTTCAAATGGTTGCTTAATTCGAATTCAGCTCCAAAAACTAGCCTAGAAACATGTAAAACTCGAAAAAGTGAACCGAGGTCACCCGAGGTCACCAAAGGTCAATGACCTGACCTGACCTTCAGGTGAACTTGACACCCACCCTAATGTATGGGAGCAACATCAAATCACATGTTTGAACGTTTGAAACCACGAAAAGCTTGCAAACGCGTGGCTAATGGGAGCCGACATACGCGGAATCGCGATTCCGGCCAAACATGGTCTCGGAAAAGAGGTCACAGGTCAAGGGTCATTTGGGTCAGGGTCATGAAATTTTAAGGGTAGGTGTAGAATTGATCAATGCGAGGGTACTGAAAGTTTCGTCGCGATCGGCCGCTTTTTACGCGAGTTATTCGCGAAAAACCTTAGGGGGGGCTTGCATCAACCCCCCCCCCCCTGTGCCGGCGAGGGTTAACAGGGTGAGAAAGTTCTAAACAATTTCGCTTCTGTCATTCAGCTACAGGAAGAAAAGATATCTACAAGAGCCAGTGTGAGACGGCATAGGACATAGACACTGACACGGATGCCGCGCGCCGTACAAAGAATCGGTCTTTTCGTTCTTTCACTTGCGTACGCTTGATGGACGCGACCGTGAAACAGCTTCAACCCAAGGCCACTCTACTATATAATGGCGAATATCTGATGAAGTTGGAAGTTGGAACAATTATCCGAGATAGCCTCACGGACGCCCTATCGAGACGAGAAAATGGCTCCTAAACAGAGAATGTAGATATTACGTTATCACACTTATCACTTTGTCTCTGCATTCGGCCTTGGGCTGAATAAAGCCAAGTCATGCAGCTTACGACTGTATAAGGTAATTAGGATTTGAACTTTTCTCAAATAAGAATAATAATTATCAAAACATTATCACGTTAGTACCTGCGAATGGAAAAAAGTTCCTGACTTTTGACCTGTGAGTAGGTATGAAGGTTCACGACTTTCGCCTATAAATTACAGTCACTTCTAAGTTCGAACTTTCTTCAATTACATCTAATTAACAATCTAAAAACTCATCTCGGGCATTCAAGCGCCGGCAGACTTTCGCCCCAGTGCAGCTGTTGTGCAGAGAAAACGACTGCCGACGCCGAGTACTGCCTGACTATACAGCGGCCTCTCCGGCCCTGGGTGCGTCCCGCCGTCTCGGTCTGTTGCACTGGAGATGAGCGGGTTAGAGCCGTTCGACACGTGGTGTCTGTGCCCTCGTTCACCGGTAACTGGGGAATAGCGGGGTCTCTGGTGCAGTGTGAGGTGGAGGTGTACAGGCGCACGGTCACGGTCCGTGCAGTCCGCGTGCAGCAGCACAGAGAGGGCATCTAATTAACAGAGAGGGCATCTACTGGTATACCGTATATCTACATATGCACTGGGCGCTGAGCAGTGAGCACTGAGCACTGAGCAGGGACTCTCAGATGGAGCTCTGAGTGGGGAGCGACAAGTAAGTGAGCTGATTCCGTGTCAGAGGAACGGAACTGGTACTTGTAAGTACCAATTTTAGTGTATCCCTTCACGGTGTGCCTCATGTGCCATCAGCACACAATGCCGCATCTTCTCTACCTCTGTCGCAATATCGCTGATACAATCATCCTGTCAACAATACCTCCGTGCTTACCCACTGCGCCCTGACCCTCTCACGCGCTCACTCACCCCGCACGCACACGAGGCACGCGCATCCGCCGTGGGTTCGAGGGAGCAGCTGCGCGGCGGTAACCGCCCGCCACGCTCGCTGGTCGGTAGGCATACGCACCGCCCCGCCGCCCCCGACTTTCACTGGGGTGGCCCAGTTGTGTGGCACCTGGGACGCACCGGCCAATATTCCACGCTCGGTGAGCTAGTTAGCCCGGCTCGCCGGGGAATCACGCTAGTATCGTGACCCGGTGCGGTCTGGGGACGGGTGTAGCGTGGCCGGCACGGCCAGCTGGGTCCCGGCAGACGCGACTTTCTCTCAGTGGATTCGGAGGGATTTGTGTGTTGTGGCCAGATGGCTATCACCCTCACGATTCCGGAATCCGAGGCGGATCGTGAGAGACCGCCAGCTTTGCTGGGGATTGTTTGGTTGGAGGCAGTTGGCTAGTTCCGATGTGCAGGCATAAATCATTCCGAGTAGTTATCCCCGGAAACAGTGATACAAATTAAATGTTTAATCTCTCATTTAATCTAATCTCACACTAATGACTGTCACTATTTGGTGATAACATGGCTGCGTTGCTCGATATCTTCACTCAGGCACACTCACATGCTCCGAGTCCCTCCAAGAGATCCATCAAAGTTCAAATACCTCTGCAGGTCTGCAGCGGAAAGCCACTTCATGCACGGTTTTTCACGGGCTGGTTGGCTGCCATGCACGTCAGGTTTAGTGATCGCATGCTGCCGCTGCACGGTTCGCGTTAATTGAGTGTGTACTCTGTCCAGTCACCGTCCCGACCGGCCGCAGCGGACTTGTCTGCATCAGACAGGGTTGTGGCTCAGGTAGCTCACTATATGAGATCACCTTGTGTTCATTTTGAGCCCATCCTGAGCTCATGTTGAGCTCACAATAAGCTCATTTCTGAATGATACTGTTTGGGCGTAACGTAGCTCTCGCATGACTTTCCAAGTTCCAAGATCGTTGATGTCCCACGGTGACCTCAAGCTACGCTGGCTCGCATTTAACTCAACTCATGTTGAACTCACGATTAGCTCGCGCTGGGCTCACAGCGAACTCACGCCGACGGCCGAGCTCACAGTGGACTCACGCTGCATTAATCCATGGATCATCTATGAACGTTCGGTTTTATCCAGCTCTGTGGTTATACCCCCGCTGGGTCACTTCTCAACTCAAATCCGCCGAGATCAGGGCTGGGTGGCCCTGTCCGCCGCGTGTGCCGTCTAGTTAGCGGAGGTCTGTGGCGGCCGTTTGTGGTTTGATGCCAGCCAGTAACCATCACCTACCAGCCAGGGTGCTAGCTGATCTCAGCAGTACATAAGGTTGAGTGGTTAAGCGCCCGCTCGGCGCTCTCACTATATGTATTTAGCCAAATGATATTGTCGACGGACACGGTCAGTTAAAAAAACAGGAATGAACCTTTCCCATACAGAAGGTACCCTTTTTGCATCACCGTGAAGCGTTTGATTTTATATCTTGCATTTATTTCTAGAATAGGTACCTACTCATTATGCGGTGCCTATTAATGTAATTATGATAATGGAACTCATTATTGTTATGCCATTATGACCTCTTAGCGATCGTCACCAGAAACCTCGGGAATGCATTCGATGATGTCTCGCGGGACATTTAAATTTAGGTAACTGTTAAGTCTACAGCACTATACATAGCTCACAGGATCTCTCAGCTCTCATGTGTCCCGGTGGCGCGGGTCACTGCCCGCACCTCGGTGGGTCACGACGCCCTCGCTCAGCTCCGTTACCCCCACCCCTTCCCTCCCCGGCACGGTTCAGCACGTCAGGCTGTCTGTTTTTCTGGTGGCCAGTTTTTGTACTGTTTGTGTGCCGCCGTTCCTCCATAACGGAATGTTCGGCCCAAACACACCGTAGAACTCGTATGTTGGAGTCCGAGATGTGTGTACGGACCCGATGTGGCCCACCCAAGTAGGTTCTCAAGCATTAAACGAACCAGCTGTTACTTCGGGATAAAGGTACTTGAAGCATGTGTCAATGTCAATTTTTATCGTTCATTTTGTCTTCAAGATTGGAGGTTATGACACAAAAACTGGAACGATAAACATAAAACTTTTCACTATGCATTTTTGTTACGAACGTGTCACAATTTTGACGATTGTCAACTCGCTTCTCCAGCCCATGACCCCGCATCCTGAACTATCCGTACGACCCACGTTCTACCAACCACTGGTAACGTAACTGGTGACCAAATCGGTCCGTTCCGGCTCGCCGCGCCGTGCTGGGGCGTAGCCGTTTCAGGGGCGTAGTCGGCCTATGTGGCGGCACGGCGCCATGGCAGCTCCAGTGTCGGAATACGTCCCACGCCACACGGGTGCACGGCACATGGCGGGGAGGTGCGAGTCAGACGGGTACTGAACCGGGCCGCTGACAGGCTGTGATCGGGGGAGGGGTGATTGGAGGAGGAAATTGGGGGGGGGGGTGACAGCTGAGCACCGCAGGCAACGGATGCTCCGTAAAATGCTGGTATTCGGTGGTCGGCGCATATAAAGTTAAATTATCTATAGCTCCATTTAATCTGAAAATACCACTTAACACGTAGACTTATGGGTACATATTGCCGTTCCCCGAGGCTACTTAACAACCACTTTTGATGAATAGAACTACCCCGAATATGATTTATTATGTCGTACGGTGAAACGGAAATGGCAATCTTCTCGTATCCGTTTGAAACGAATATCACATACCAATCTATGGCTCATGCTTCTCGGGCGGCACAATGGCATCTCGCTGCAATGCCATTCACCAGCACGAAACTCCAGCTTCACTACATCACCGTGAGACTCAATTTTGACCACATGACCGCGCGTGTGCACCGCGCCACAGGGCAGTGGGCGGTGCACGGCACGAGGCGCTAACACCGGACTGACGGGGCATGGGAAATCGGCGGTGAAGCGAGCAGCTATAAGACGCCGTTGTGGTAAACGAGACTCATCCATATGCGGTGGGGCATTCTTTACTACTTAGCCCGTGGATCATAGTTCGTGAGTCTTCTGCTCGGCGAGCGTTTAAACGTGTCCCGTTCTGTGTCTTTCAGGTACTATTCTGCACATTGAACACGCACAAGCTGGACATGGCCAAACTTCTCGGAGGGCAGATCGGCCTGGAGGATTTCATATTCGCACATAGAAAAGGCAAGTCTTGAAACGATCTAGAGCGGATCATAACGGGCCAGTAGTCTGTGCTTAGGGTTAACGGTGGGCTTTAGCCTTCAGCGTCAAGATAGCACGTCAGGAAATCCGTGCATTTCATGCCATTAAATCTTCCATCGGAAGACGGGTGACCCTTTGCTTTGTCGCAAGAGGAGGTAAAATTTGAAGCAGTCGGCGTTGTAGTGTGGCGCGGCGCCACAAAGGAAAAGTAGAAACAAGGGAAAGGCTAAAGCACATGCTTATAGTGCACGACATTTTGCTATGCAAAGCTTGTTTTGGTATAGCACCAATGCATTCAACGGGACTTCAGTCTTTGTGAGTCACATATACTTTATAAACACAAACAAGTAGACCCAATATGAAAACGTTCATAGTCGAGCCATGTGACTGCAAGTCAATCGTCACTGCCGGTATTTGTATAACGACTTAGTTCTGTGTTGGACATTACATTATGAAAGCATCTCCCTGACATCAGCGCCCTATGTAACATCGGTTTGGTGTCACCAGGTCAGGCCAAGGAGATTGAGATTGTGAAGACGGAGCAGGCGCTGGGTCTGACGATCACCGACAACGGCGCTGGCTACGCCTTCATCAAGCGCATCAAGGAGGGCAGCGTCATCTCACGGATACCGCACGTTCAGGTACTGCAGGGGAAGCATCTGACGTGTCAGATAGCCGTACCACGGCTACGAGTACAGTCGGGGTGCTGACATATGTCGACAGGATAGAGCCGCCACAGGTGTGGTGTCTGTCCTCGATCTGTACTTACAGCTGCGGGCTATCAACTTAACAGGCGTTTTTGTCTCTTCTGTCACATGGCTGAGTACTAGGTTTGAGCATGTAACTAGGGAGCCTATACCTACGTCACATGACTCTAAAGGCAACAAACCGAGTATTTCTTCTATCCGACGTAACAATAAACTTGACAATAATAACCCAAGTTTATTGCACAATGCTAATGTACAATGAAGCCGTCATTATTGCCATTATTATCGTCATTCTACAGCTGTCATGGATTCGTTACAAATAACAATATACATAGGACAAGTTTGAATCCCGTTCGTGCAGCTTTGAAATATAACCGTAGCCCGATAGCGTGACAAAGGTTTGGTCAAATGCAAAACAATACCATGCATGATGCAAACCTTGTTTAGCCGTCACCAAAACTTCCTCAGTAAATTCGGCCTTGGTCGTTTTTTTTTTAAGTACCTATGTGCAGCGTGCATGGCGACGTACTCAGTGAAAGCCGTCATGATTTAAGTTTGGTGTAAATTGTTTGCGCAGTCGCGTTGGTTTCTTACTATTTTGTCGTTTCAGGCAAAAAACATTTGTTATCGAATAAGATAAACTGAAAATACGGAAGATCATTCACTCTCAAATTGACCAGCCTTTTTTCGACAAATGAACGACGATGGACCCACGGCCCACGGCCGCCATTGCGTAGGTAGCATCATTTACAGCACGTTCTTTGTCTCCAGGTGGGCGACCACATTGAGAAGATCAACGGCGTCAGTCTGGTGGGCAGCCGGCACTACGAGGTAGCCAAGATGCTCAAGGAGATCCCCGTGGACCAGGCGTTCGTGCTGCGGGTCGTGGAGCCGCTCAAGGCCGGGTTCGGTGAGTCAGTCAATTGTGGGTAGCAATTAGTGCACTAATGAATACCGTGCATTCTAGGATGGAACGCTATCGGGTTATAGTAGGTACAATCAGGTGTTCAATAGGTTAAGCCATATATCAAAATATTGTTTTTGAGCTCGCTGCTTTGTTGACTATCTAGAGCTCACGTAACTGCTAGACTTGAATCACTGGCTGAACAAAGAAATGCGTCCATATGAGTCACAGCTCTGCCACGCAATTAGCCTCGCTTTTAATGTCATACGGAATCCAGCCACGTGTGCACTGTGCGTGCACTGTGCAATGCAACGGACTGACAGGGATTAGAGAGAAATCATGGAAGCCGCAGTGTGTCGAATGCCTCCAAGTCCAGCCCATGCACGTCCGCTTCGAGTGAAACCGATAAACACTCCGCACCTTTTTATGCATGCTATTACGCCAAAAACGAAATACTCCATACCGTGCGACATTGCGTACCACTTATTTAAGCCTCAAATACATCGCTGAGTACGAGCCCATGCTGGGTTCCTGATCCTCACCGTAGAAACACGTTCTGTTCCAGCCAACATCGGACCGCGCACGGACCCACGGGCGGGGAAGAAGGCCGGCTACGGGTCCGGCAAGGCCACCCTCCGATTGCGGGCCAACGGTCAAGCGCGCGTCGAGGAGGCGGTGAGTGGTGACTCTGGTCACCGAGGGTCGTGGGGGGGGGGGGTGAGTAAATGGGATGAGGAGCGAGGGAAAGAGGGCTCAGATGGGTTAGAAAAGGGGTTAATACATGAATGGAGCGCTGATGACCAGACCGCGATATAATGAGCGAAGGAGAGGTGAACCATGGAAAACCTGTCCTGGAAAGTGCTAATTTGTATTATGTATACATAGATGTGAGCTACTTTTCATAGATGTTCATGGAAAACATGTTTACGTCTCAAGTGGCTGCGGATCACCTGCCTTACACGAACCTCAGCCGCTCAAACAACGATTACCTCAAAACCAATAAACTCGAGCAAATACGCTAACCTTCACACACATGAAAACTTCTCTGTCGATTAGCCCAACACCCAATGACTAACATTTCTGCCCTTGTCAACAGCCCTGTGGGATGGTGGAGGCGGCTACCAACAAGATCAACACACTCCTGGAGAGCTTCCTCGGCATCAACGACTCGGAGCTCGGTAAGCGTCCGTCTGTCTCGAGTGCGCTGTTGACCTCAGAGTGCCGCCCTGTGTCACCAGCACGGACCCAGATAAACAAACCGACACCGCGCCCGAGCGTACAATAACGGCGACATTTGTGCGTTTTTGCGCCGATAGTGGATATCGCAGGCATATCTGAGGTTCCGTTTGTGGCGGCCCTCGTCCAATATCGTGCGGCACGTGTTGGTTCGATTCGATAGCGACAAGACTGCGGCCGTGCCTCGCTTCAGATTGACCTAAATATAGGAGTTGGAATGGAAGGAATCCGATAGTAAATATCCAATGTCGCTAAATAGTACACGACGCCATTAAAAAAAAAAAAAAAAATGGCAGCTGCTATGATTTGTATCTATGAGTCGTGACTTTTTAGCACTGAGCTGCCAAAGCCTTCGACTCACACGCTACGTTCACTACCACCCGTACACGTATCACTGTCCCATTGACCGATGATACATTCTTACTCTTCAAATCTGCTCGTCCATTTCAACTCCTTCAGTACGTTCAGCCACTGACCACTCTTCTCCCCTTCCAGCGACTCAGATCTGGGAGCTGGGCGAGAACAAGGAGAACACGATGGATTTTGCCGAGGCCATCGACAGCTCGGACCTGGAGGCGTTTGGCTTCACCGACGACTTTGTCATCGAGCTGTGGGGCGCCATCACAGACGTCAAGGCCGGCAGGGTCAAATGACCACCGAGGCGCCCTGTGGAGTGACGTGAGGACGTCAGGTGACCCGGGCTGACCTCGGGCGAGCGTCAGGTGGCCTCCGAGTGGAGTGTGGCTGTTTGTGAGTGGTCCATGAGGACTTGGTGTCTCGGTTAGGACGTGGTCGCTGTTCGAGACGGGACTCCAGAACAGAGGCACCTCTAAAGGCAACATTGCGTGCTTCAATTTATGACACGCTGGCGCGATGCTTCGATTGGAAGGCCATCTAGTAGAACTGTGAAGCATTTCAATCGCAGTGCAGTTAGATAAGAAATGCAGGTGCCTCTACACAACGGAGACACAACTGAGCCAACGGAGTCCAGGCACGCCAGGAGTGACAGTGCGATAGACATGACAACTTCAACTGACCAGAATCCATGTCACCGGCAGAGGAAAACACAGCGATTGCGAGTGTTACGTTCCGAGACCCCAACAAGTCTCTGCCGCTCCGAAACGTGAATCATTCACTGATGACTCACCGTGCACATACTTTGGCACGAACATATGTGAGCGGTGTGTGAATGTCCACACCTGTACATCCACGTGCGGGGCAGATCTAAACGTCCACTGAATGCGGTCGGATGCGGCAGAATGAGACAAAAAGTATGTTAGTGTGTGATGGATTGGTGAAGAATCGGGAGACTTGTCTCGTGTGCCGGGGGTTGACATTCCACTGGAAGGAGGTGGCCGTGAGCTGGGTGAGAGTCGCCACATTCCACTGTGGAATATTTGTAGCGGGGATCCCGACATTCCATTGTGGAATGGCGTGGGCTCGAGTGTGGGGCGAGGACTGGCATTCCACTGTGGAATTAGATGGATGTGTGTGGGGGCGGGAACTGTGACATTCCACTGTGGAATTAGATGGACGTGTGTGGGGGGCGGGAACTGTGACATTCCACTGTGGAATGGGGTGTACAGACTGGTGATGAACGATGGGCACTTTTGTAGCTAGACCCGGTGTGACCACGACCACATCGTACCTATATGCCAGAAATACATCCGACCACATAAACTGACGCTTTGTGATAAGACGAGAGCTGCAAACTGTCCTTGTCTCTATGAAACTCAACGCATAATCTTCTCTACTCCACTCCACTCTACGAATAACTCTACGAAATCCCACCTTGTAACGAACGTCACTCTTACTTCTTAGGCATCTTTATTTGAAAAATACTTTCAAAAAGCAAACCCTAAGCACAACCAGTGGCACCCATTCCCAAAATAGAGACACTTCCAGCATTGCCTGTGCACCGCATGTGACCCAATCATGTTCTACCTCACATCATAATTCACCGACACTGAAATAGTTATAGTTATAGCTATAGTGTAGATAAACACATTTTCCCAGTCATACTCTCAGGCCAATGGCAACTGGGAACTATTCAATGCCGTGTCTTAATTCATTGCACGCAAGCACCAACTCTATCAAATCGTTGGATTAGTGTAAAGCATTCGGCCGATATTCAATTCACAAGATTCATCGTCCACTTTCATCACGCAGCACCCGGCAAAACGTTACAGCCACAAGGCGTTGACATGGTTCAGCAGACGTCAACTGGCGAGGAGCCAGTATACACTCACGGAGAAGCGGGCCGTGATGCTCCCTGTCTCATGACCTCTCGTTCAGTGCCGCCATCTGCAGCACAGGTGCCATCAGGCTCAGCGAGTCGCCGCAAAACTTCTGCAGGTAGCTCACCTGAAAAGGAAAATGGGATTTGCTGTAAATATCACAAATAAGCACCAATGAGATTACACTACTCCAAACGGTTTCGTGTATTGTGCAAAATAAGCACAAAAAGTTACATATGTGAGTGCTACACTGGCACTCGAGCCTGGCAGAAATATGCCATTGAGCCATTCATTGAATCACCACTTCAATATTTGTAAGACATCGTCCCCTTACACAAATGTTCCACATCAAGCGACTTAATCTCTTCATCAATTCATACCACTGAAAGTATTACTCCAATAACTCCAACAGCTCCCATCCCCAGTCCCCCAGTCTCACCTCCAAGTAAATATCGGTGGTGGCCGCCGCGGCCCGCTCGTCGGGCTGTCCGCTGAGGGTCTCGGCGAACCGTGCGGCCAGCGCCCCGGTCTGGGCAGCCACCAGGGCTGCCAGGGCGGCCAGGTGTCTGCCGGCCGCCGCCTGGTCCCCTCCGGGCTCCACCAGCCGCAGCTCTGCCAGCTTGTGCAGGAACTCGGCCAGCCCGGCGCCCACCTCGGCGGCAGCGCGGACGGCGCGGGTCAGCACCTCGCGCGGCGCCGCCGGATCAGAGGGACCGGACGAGAGCCACTGGCAGGCAGACGACTGAGCCTGGAGGCGGGGGTGGGACGGTCACAGAGGGGTCATGTGGGCCACAGGGAGGTCGAAGGGTGACCAAATATCAGAGCGATAAACCGGTTGTGGTGCCACAGCCGCAGGACTGGTACGCTTGATGCTGGTTACTGACTAGCTAATGGGATCTCAACAAGAGTTATAACACGAACAATCACGAAATGGCGAAAGTGACCTTGATGGGCACACCGAGACTAGTGAGAAGACCAGAGACTAGACGAGACTAGAGAGAGGAGTTACTTTACCCGTCCCGTACTCACAATGATGAGCCGCATAGGTTTGATGGGCACACCGAGCCGGAAGATGTATAGGAGTTGTATTACCCATCCCGTACTCACAATGATGAGCCGCGTGGGTTTGATGGGCATACCGAGCCGGGAGGATATATAGGAGTTATTTTACCCGTCCCATACTCACAATGATGAGCCGTGTGGGTTTGATGGGCACACCGAGACGGGAGGATATATAGGAGTTATTTTACCCGTCCCGTACTCACAATGATGAGCTGTGTGGGTTTGATGGGCACACCGAGCCGGGAGGCTATATAGGAGTTACTTTACCCGTCCCGTACTCACAATGATGAGCTGTGTGGGTTTGATGGGCACACCGAGACGGGAGATATATAGGAGTTATTTTACCCGCCCCTTACTCACAATGATGAGCCGCGTGGGTTTAATGGGCAAACCGAGCCGGGAGGATATATAGGAGTTATTTTACCCGTCCCGTACTCACAATGATGAGCCGTGTGGGCTTGATGGGCACACCAAGCCGGGAGGATATATAGGAGTTACTTTACCCGTACCGTACTCACAATGATGAGCCGTGTGGGCTTGATGGGCACACCGAGCCGGGAGGATATATAGGAGTTATTTTACCCGTCCCGTACTCACAATGATGAGCCGTGTGGGTTTGATGGGCACACCGAGCCGGGAGGATATATAGGAGTTATTTTACCCGTCCCGTACTCACAATGATGAGCCGTGTGGGCTTGATGGGCACACCGAGCCGGGAGAATATATAGGAGTTATTTTACCCGCCCCGTACTCACAATGATGAGCCGCGTGGGTTTGATGGGCACACCGAGCCGGGAGGATATATAGGAGTTATTTTACCCGTCCCATACTCACAATGATGAGCCGTGTGGGTTTGATGGGCACACCGAGACGGGAGATATATAGGAGTTATTTTACCCGTACCGTACTCACAATGATGAGCCGTGTGGGCTTGATGGGCACACCGAGCCGGGAGAATATATAGGAGTTATTTTACCCGCCCCGTACTCACAATGATGAGCCGCGTGGGTTTGATGGGCACACCGAGCCGGGAGGATATATAGGAGTTATTTTACCCGTCCCATACTCACAATGATGAGCCGTGTGGGTTTGATGGGCACACCGAGCCGGGAGGATATATAGGAGTTATTTTACCCGTCCCGTACTCACAATGATGAGCCGTGTGGGCTTGATGGGCACACCGAGCCGGGAGAATATATAGGAGTTATTTTACCCGCCCCGTACTCACAATGATGAGCCGCGTGGGTTTGATGGGCACACCGAGCCGGGAGGATATATAGGAGTTATTTTACCCGTCCCATACTCACAATGATGAGCCGTGTGGGTTTGACGGACACGCCGAGCCGGGCGACCAGTGAGGAGAGCTCGCTGTCAAAGTCGCCGACCTCAACCTCCTCCAGCTCGTCCGAGTTGCACAGGTCCTGTCGGGGGCAGCGGTCAGTGTCAGTCGCAGCAGGTAGAGCGTCATGGAGGTGACACCTAGAAGCTATCGTAACAGTCGTAAGTCTAGTCTTCTACGTTTTCTGGCTTTTTTTTGGCTCCTAGTAACCTACCTAACGACACCTTCCGACATCTGCTGAATCTCTCCGACCTGGAATAGCCTCTGTCAAACCCTACCACCTCAACCGACCTCCAACGACGACCAAAAACATCTGCTCAACCTTTACACTGACCTCTACCAACCCTTCTAGACCTCTACTAAACTGTGCCAATCCATTCCGACCTACCACACCCCTACCGACCTCTATGGTGTCCAGGATGACACCGACGCCCTCGTCCACCCTGGCTTTGGCCGCGTTGACCCGGGACCGGCAGCGGGTGGAGAGCATCTCCAGCGCCTCCAGATGGACGGTTCCTGCACAGGATGAAGGGGAGGAGTGGCCATGGTGAGAGGGTGTATAAAGGCTGAGAGGTTCCGGCTAAAACGAGTTAGAAGAATTGTGACAATGCAGTGAATAAGAATGGTGAGGGCTGGCGTTTGCGAGCAGAAACGGCCCATGACGCTTGACATTTGTCACGCCAGATCTGCCGTAACAAAGCTATCGATCGAAGTTGCATTGACATCAAAATCATTACTAACAGTCAGCAATCAGCATTATATTAAAAATAAAGACTCGATGTTGCTCCCTGAATTCAACATTAATTAATAAGCAAACTGCATAAAAAAATAATTAAGAGAGAAAAATAACAACACCCCGCTGAATTCCAGGCCCAGCGCGGTCCACCCTCTCACTAAGTTCAGCCGTACCGTCGCACTGGTCGAACATGTGTGTGAAGGTGACCGGCTGGGCGGCGGCAGCCCGGTCCCCGGCGGCGGAGGAGGACGGCACGGCGTCCCCTCGCCGCTCGCGGGCCTCCCGCAGCGCCTGGAAACGGGGGACGGTAACAGCGCACAGCAGAGGAACTGACAGCTAGGGTCACAGGCACATCGCGATAGGTAGATGTGACGAGCAGTGGACAGTGACTGAGACAGGTAACTCTAACGAGGTTCAACAAATCCAACATCGGCGTGGGTAAAAATAAGCCCACCAACAATCCATTGCTCTTCAAAACCCGAAACAGTGATGGACTCTGTCTGTGCCAGTGAGGACCGAGGGTATTTAAGTAACCACATCTGCAAGTGATGGTTCCTGTAAACCCACCTGCGCCAGTGAGGGTTTTTGGCCGCTCAGCTGGGTGATGGTGTCGTGAATGCCCAGCTGGTCGTCCTGCAGCACGTGCATCGTCTTCTTGCCGATGGCCTCCAGCGTGTCCAGGCCCGTGTTGACCACCAGGGAGGAGGTCTGGCCGAGGACACGCGACACGCCGCCGAACCACGAGCCCAGGCCCAAACCGGAGTCGGCCAGACCGCCGTCCGGCGCCGGCGTCTCAGCTGAAAGGGATACGGAGATAATTGTTAGCGAGGCGTCAGCGCGATTCGATGTATTGCATTAAATGTTCATAAAGCTATTCACGATAAACGAGGCCAACATTTAGCTTGTGTCATAAATGGACAAAAAGCAGGCAAAACGGACATTCATCCACCAGCATTCATATGTTACGTAAATAACCTACCGGCCTGCGCCGCCTGCTGTTCCCGATGTTGTTGCTCCTCCTCCTGCTGCTGCTGCCGCTTCTGCCGTCCCTCTCGGGTAATGCGCGCCAGGTCCTCGGGCTCGGGCGCTCCGAAGCCGGTCTCCACCGTCTCCAGCACCGTCTTGGTGACGCCGGCAGCTGAGGAGAGCAGCGACGTGCCCCAGGCCTCCCAGCCGCCCCAGCCGTCCTGTCGGGGACAGGGAGAGGCATTTGCCGTCAGAGGTGGGATAGATACACTGTGCAACGACCAGAAACAATGACTGAAACTGGCGGGATTAACATCTCAAAGACAACAGTGATTTCACCTATTGGAACTATCGACAGCACAAAATGTTAAGTTCGACCACCACAGAACCATCGTAAAAAAACTGTGCTCTGTCACGAATGTCTGGACACGGTTCCACTGGTAAATAGTACCTGTTCCTCCTGTTGAGTGGAGGCGGCTGCGGCCGGTGCCGACGGTGAGGTCTCAGCACATCTGACTCCCGTCGTCGACCTCGGGTCACCACTCTCCTTGGCTGGAGCCGGAGCGTCATCGTTAGTCGGCTCCGGCTGCGGCGCGGCCACCTTGGCACCGAGCTTCTTGGCACCCAGTTTAAGCGGTCCGCGGCGCTCCCGACGCTCGGGGCGGCGCCGCTCCGACGGGGGCGCCGCAGACTCCGGTACCGGCTCCGAGGGCGCCGCCGGCTCCGACGGGGGCGGCGAGGACTCCTGCTGGGATGCTGACTGATTCTCTGGTGTAGCAGTGACTGACTGGGACTCAGCTGCCATATCAGGTGTTCCCTTGGGAGTGGTTTCCTCTGGTACAGACTGTACTGTTGCAGTGTCTGTACCCTTAGGTGTTATTGTTTTGTTGGTTTCTTCACTGGCACCTGGATCATCAGGCAGAATGATATCATCATCAAAGTCTCCCCAGCCATCAGAAACATCTGGGACAGAGGCATCACTCTGAGTTACAGCAGTAGTGGCATGCTGCTCTTGCACATCATTGGACTTAGGTGCAGATGCAACTGGTGCCTTACTGACAGGAGTTGCCTCTTTGTCTGACAGTTGCTCTTTGACAGCTGAATCTGTCTCAGTACTGCTTGTTAGTGTCTCAGCTGTTGCAGCTTTGGAAGTTTTAGTTGTGGGCACTGGAACAGTTGTGTCCAGTGGTTCAGAGGCAGCTGCATCACATTTTACAGCAGCACTCTTACCACTGTCTGGATGGGAGGGAAGAGCAGAGGTTACAGCAGACAATGAAAATGAGGCATCAGAACTGTGTTCTGACTTTGATGCAGCCTTCTTGTTGTCATCATGTTTACTAACATCAGCTTCAGAGGGCTTGTCAGGCTTGCTCTTAACTTCAGCTTCTTTGACACTGGTGCTAACCTCCTTAGCCATAGTCTCTTCTTTACCTGCACTCTTTAAGTGAGGCCCTTTATCATCATCATCATCTTCATCACTGGATAGTGTTATGTCACTGGACTCATGGTCTCCAGCAGCAGCTTTGTCTCCCTCCTCAGGCTCAGAGTCACTTGAGAGGGTGATGTCACTTGATTCATTTCCAGCATCAGCCTTGGCTTCCCCCTCATCAGCACTCAGAAAACTGTCTGAATCCTCAGAGTCTGACATTTTCAAATGACTGAAAAAGAACACATAAGTCATGAGCCATGAGAATATAGCCACTTGATAGAATGGATTATTTGGATATGCACTCTGCAGCATTTTTTTTTCATTGACTTACTTGTTCCCAACCCACCCCCATCTTCAGCATCAGAAATAAAGCAAAGTAGGGTTACATAAATTAAGGTAGGCATCATATTCTGTGCATCAGCTTGAAGACAAAGGTGAACTTATAGCAAGCTGTTCCAAATGACCAGACAGGGAGGCATAAAATTAAAATATTAAAAAAGGTACCTGCAGAGACGGCATGCAAGGCATCCCTCACTTCACTTTAGGAAAACCTGAAAAGGATTTATACCATTCCATGCATGGGTCTCAGTGCAAACTGTGACATATGAGTCAATAATAATGTTCATGAAAATTGTTGAAGGCTGCAATATTCTCACGGAATTTGAATAATTAACAGCTGTTTCAGTTCAGAAAAAATCAAAATGGACAAAAGCAAATAAAACAAAAAAAGTCCTACATTGGCTACATTTGAGCAAATATATTCTATCTTGATCTACACTCAATACATACTGTGCTAGCGAGTTCTTGCAATGCAAAGCAACACTTCCCAGCGCAATATAGGCAAATAAAATGTATCTTTAGGTAGATCTGTTGATACGTCTACACGCGAGTGTAGTGTAAATACAAACACAAAAACACCAAAAACAAGCTTCATTTCAAGGCTACCAAATTAAAGTATTCTCGTGGCAATATGGTAGCATTTTAGTAGGCATTTCTGACGTAGGAGATACGTATAATTGCGCAGAAAATCGTCGCCCACGCGCTGATTGCGCGCTCGATCGAAGCACGGTCATTGAATACTAGATCGAAGACGTGTAAATTTTTCAGTGGTATATGTATTTGTTTTGTTATCTTAAATTTTGAAATAGGATCATTCACCACCCGTGTCGTACGGGCTTCTCTGATTGCCTCAACGACGGGCTATTTTTTCTTAATAAAGTTGGTCCGAACTCCTAACGTCCATCGCCCTTTGCACCCTAGGCTCAAAATAGAACCAAAAACACCATATTGTAATAAACAATAAATCGATGTTAGCATAGAAAAATGGGCATTATTAGAGCAGAGCAGACGTCACACGAAGGTTTCCCAACTGAGGAGAGGTGCTGTAGGTTTGTAGGTTGTAGGGACAGTGCAAAGTATGGCTCCAGGTTCACAGGTCGACGAGATGGCAGATGCACCGGCCCAAGATCAAAATCTGCACTAATCCTTCAAACAGAGCCAGAAAACCGGCACCAAAGCTGGCTGAGAGTACCAGAAATATGCACCAAACCTGCACAAATGACCAGTTGAAAGCCACACTGAACTCAAGTATTGATATGAGCCACAGCCCACAAGCCTGCCATCTCGGAAACAAAACAAGAAATATGCACTGCAAGACTCGAGCAAAAAGCATGCCACACCAATACACAAGAAGCCTATCCGGTACCCAGTTACCTGCCCCTGGCAATTCATCCAGGGTGATTTTTGTGTGATGTACCTATGAAACTGCTAAAAATTTATTAAGTAAAGTTTTCATTATAGACCACGCAGAGTAAAACAAAGACCACCATTGGATTGCCCGTGATGAGCTGCATCGAATAGACACCCTTTTTAATTTTTATGCAAAAATATCAACTTTGAAATTTGACCGTTTTTACCTGACCTGGACTTGACCTCCACCAGAACGGAACCTAAAATGGCCCTAATGGTCGTGTAACACACACCATTAAATTTGAAATGTAAAAATTGGTCATAAAACATGCATCACACAACCCTAGTATAGTTGGGTCCATATTGTGACCCTTTGAGACAGTAGACCTGACCTCTGTGACCTGGCCTCTGTGACCTGACCCGGCATCAGTGACCTCCTAAGTAGCATATGTATTAGGCGACCGACGCTGCATCGCTGATCTTCGATAACATGCCTTTTATTCGATGTTATAGCGCATTGCTTAGAAGGCCCGTAATCAGTGAAAAGTGCGACCTTTGACCTGACCTGTGACGTCATCGGTTGCACCTAGGTCAACGAAACTCGGTCGCAAGGTAGTTCCCTAGTGGCGCTATCGAATGCCGTATGAATTTTAAAAATCGGTCGGTAACTTTCCGAGGTCTGGGGGGGTTCGAAACGCCCCCCCCCTCCCCCCAACGGGTGGTAGGGTCACTAGGGTCCGCCAATAGCCCGACGGGGCGCGGGTTAAGTATTGCTGTGAGGTCAGTCGCCTTTTAAGCTAAGAAGGATATGTTCTTTCCTTTCATGTTTTATATTGTCAATTCCTCCATTATTTAGACTTTAAGGGTGCAAAAGAAGGAGATCATGAGTCCGATCCTTTTGAATGGAGAGATTCACAAGGACGGAGCCTCGCTAAGCAGATGTAGTTCAATCTAACAGGGGGATAAGTTATTGTTATGACAGGGAAACTATTTTCACTCTGATGCTAAATGCAGGCTGTTCTGTGTAGTGTGTACCCAGAGTGAAAGTTAGACTCAGAGCTGGAGTTGAATTTTCATAGCTGGAGCTGGATTCATTACCTATAATAACTTTAAACATTTGACTGCCATTCACATGCTAAGGTTATGTCCTGGAGCTTATGCTAAGCTCATGTCTTATGGTTAGGTATATCCTGGATTTTATAGTGAAGCTGACTGAAGTCCTTTTTCACAGGTACTGATTTTGTAATTGTTCACATGTTTGTTTCTGTGATGCACAAACTGCTGATATTGGATTTTCTTTTCAGTTATTTCTCTTATCAAAGTTAAACATTTCTTTCAACACTTTGAAAGTACTCTGGGAGAAATTAGTTATCTCTCATTCAAAATCACTTCACCGAACACGATCGCCCTCCTTACACCTGTCCCGTGCCTGCTCCCTGGGGCTAATGAAGAGACACAACTCTGGTTCTGAGAGCAATTCTGGCAGCAAAACAAAGAAGGCTCGGGGCAGTAGGACACCGGAAGGAATGACGGCAGGCAGCGGCAGCGGCAGCACTGTCTGCGAGGTGCTTCCAAAACCTCTCCAGTCGGAAAATGACAAAAGAGAGTACAGGTTAGTGTTCTGTGTGCAGATGTTTTGTGGCTTTGAGCATGCCATGTGTTTTTTCTTCTTCTTAAATGTCATTTTGTTTGTAAATTATTAAAGTTTTATTCTAAGTTAAATTTGTGATTCACTCTGCTTACCAATCTCGAGTTACTAACTTACTAAGGTCTCGAGCTGCTCGCGGCTATTCGACCAGTGATGAACCACCCGATGCTGTCTGATTGCAGGGCAATCAAGCTTCCAAATGGCCTGCGAGCTCTGCTCATTTCCGACCTCCGTCCTCCGCTGGAGAGTATGAGCAAAACGAAGCTCCTGGCCCGTCGCAGTCGTGAGGGTAAATGTCCGATCGAATCGTGAGAATCTATCGAGAAATGGGCTAATGTTATGCAATTTGTATTATTTGACCATAGAATGTCTCGATGTTTTCACTAAGAATGTGCTACGAATGCTGGTATCGCGCCAACAATATTCAGTTGTGTGTAAAATTATTTGAAAATGTATTTAAAAACGTATGCGATAAGCCACACAGCATCCACAAATTATTCGATCCTTGGTTGCAGATGCCGGCGAGTCTGACGGCTCGGAGTCGGAAAACGAGAGCGACGGAGAGGAGACCGACGAAAAAATGGTGAGAATCGCGCTTCTCCTCTCTGAAAGGGGTGTTGTGTGATATTTTACGCTACGCTGTGATATTTTACGATGCGCAAACGTTGCTTTGTCAGATTGCTGACAACGGAACAACATTACCTACAATAAGACTAACTTTCCGTGACAATGCCCCTTCCAGTCTTAGTACCTGCCTCATGCGTCTTACTCACACCTGTCGGTCGTGTGTTGTGATCTGATCGGGATGCCGGCCGTGTTCGGGACCCGAGTGGAGCGGCGGCCGTGTGTGTGACCCCGGGTGGACCGGCGTCCGTTTCAGGCGGCCGCCGCCCTGTCGATCGGCTGCGGCAGCTTCTCCGAGCCGGACGAGATCGAGGGACTGGCGCACTTTGTCGAGCACATGGTGTTCATGGGCAACAAAAAGTACCCGGAGGAGAACAGCTTTGACGTGTTCGTCAAGGTAAGGCAGTGGTTTGAAACTAGCGCGTTTGTTGAACTCACTTACTGCTGTACTTTGTTGCACTTAACCGGTAAACTAATCAAAATGCGAAGCGACCAGCTTTGTGATGTTTCATTTGCAGGATTTTGTCATGTGTGAACAAGTCGTTTTTGTCCTACAATTGTAACAGCTTTTTGTAACCGCTATCAGTGATAATGTTCTGTGCTGTAAAGGATGGCTTTTGTATGCTAACTCAGGATTTGTTTGCTATTTCAAACATGCCCTCTCTCGCGATACCCACATACTTTTGCACTTCAGCATGCTGATCCCACCCCACCCCCGTGCCGTCTCCCCGGTACAGAACAGCGGCGGCTCAACGAACGCGCACACGGACTGCGAGCAGACGGCCTACTACTTCGACGTCAACTCACCGCACATGCGCGAGGCGCTCGACCGGTTCGCGCAGTTCTTCATATCGCCGCTGATGAGGAAGGATAGCATGCAGCGCGAGCGACAGGCCGTGGAGAACGGTGAGGAGGGAGGAAGGAACGGGAGAAAGAGAAGAGGGGAGAGAGGAACGGGTGAAGGCGAATTGCCAAGGGAAACACGGGCTTCTTTTATGGAGAAGCTCTGGATATCTATGGATTCTACGGCTGTTATAAATTAGAAAGTGTAGTAACATTTGAGTTTCACTTACACCGACGTTGAGCCCGTTTTCCACATATCACGCCAATCCAACTTACAAATTGTTTTTAGTTTTGGTGTCAGCTCATAGAGATCAACAACATCGACAAGTGACGACAGAGCTCATTTACCTTCTCTGACCGGCTGTTGCCCTCCCCGTGTCTGCCAGAGTACCTGGAGGCGTTGCCGAACGACTCCCACCGGGCTGACCAGCTCCTGGCCACCCTGGCGCGGGACGGACACCCGATGGGAAAGTTCACCTGGGGCAACATGGAGTCACTCTCGGAGAGTCGCACCGGCCTCAAGGACGACTGCATGCACGCGCGGCTGCACGAGTTCTGGCGGCGCTACTACCGGGCGCCGTACATGACGCTGGCCGTGCAGGCCGACCAGCCGCTGGACACGCTGCAGCAGTGGGTGAGTCAGGGCTCAGTGTAATGGGGCGTATCTTTGTAGTCGGTGCGCTCTTAAGAACTAATAAACAAACAATGGGTGAGTCAGGTGGTGAGAAAATGGACGTGTTGATGCAATGAACGTGGAATACGTGCTGATGCGTCCCTGTTATGCTCTTTTGCTCGTTATTTCTCTCCGCTGCCCGCTCCCGCTGTCTCTCACACTGTCCGCCCACGCCAGGTGGTGGACATATTCAGCGCCGTGCCGGGCTGCTCGGAGCCGCGGCCGTCGTTCGCCAGTCACGGCCTGCCCTGGGAGCCGAGCCGCTTCCACCGGCTGTACCGCATCATCCCCGTGAAGGACTTCCACCAGCTTACGGTCACCTGGCAGCTGCCCAGCATGGTCAAACACTACCGCACCCGGCCGCTCAACTACATCTCGTGGCTGATGGGCCACGAGGGCCGCGGCAGCATCCTCTCCTACCTCAAACACAGGTGAGTGGGTGACTCG